ACAAAGCAATGAAAATTGACATAGTAAACTATCACGGGCCGTCAGATGTTAGTTCAGGTAATGAAACACCGATTGGCAGACGACACATGTCTTGTTATTCTTTTCCCACCAAACAAGGAACATTTACTCTTTATGCCTAAGTTAACACTGATTGCAGCAATGTCACTTGCACAGTTCAACGAATTTGCTACATTTTACCCCTATCGAAATTGACGCCCTACTTCTATTTAATTGCAATTCTTCACTGCTTTTAGAAGTTATTTCTCTGAAACCCGACCCCGAACTTGGCTTAACAGACACACAGTTCACTAGATCTATAAAGATTTTGTATTGTAAAAGTTATAATATTTTGAATAAATGTCTTGAAACGTCTAAATCTCTTTTATTCGACCTGACAGCACTTTTTCCTTTCACGATTGCAACACTGCTCACTCACTTTGAAGACTTAAGTCATCATGTTTCTTTCACGATATAATGGAATTGCCCGTATTCTACTTATATAGGTTCATTTACCCCTTTCTTTTTTGTTTACGGGAGAAGTATAAGTTTATAAAAAAAATAAACCTAGGTTAACATTTTTAGCAGTTGCTGAAATTTTCATTTATATTCATTATGATCCATATAAGTCAATTTAACTCAAATATCTATTTGCGAGGCGAGCTTTGTTGGACAATAAAGAAGTCTTGGCAACGAACATGTTGATAGTTACGTTGTAGATAAAAGTGACGTTTGCGAAATATCAAAATGATTCGTGACAAAATTATTCGGGAAAGATGTAAAAATTATATAGGTGTAAAAATCACATGAATTGAATCGAATTTTGAAATTTGCCATTTTTGGACATTCCAATAACATCAATGTGAAGGTCGATTAGGAAATTACGAAAATATGCTCATCATAAAATTACAATTCTACAAACGAAAAAATCTGGAAAGAGTATCTTTTTGTTCTTTTTGCATATTCCTTTCTTATTCGTTTGATTAAGTCGTGGAAGTAGTGAAGAGCGTACACGTGCTCAACACGAAAAAAAAAAAAAAAACGAAGTGGAAATACCAACAAAAAGAAAACTGAAAAAAAAGTAAAGAAAATGGACACAACAGCCGAAGCGGTCACTGCCTATCCTGTTGTTGTGCCCTCTCCACAGGCGGCATTCTCTTATCTTTGAAGTGGGCATCGCTGTAGCATGCATCAAATTTCAACGTCTTTTTTGTAGAGATGAAATCTTTTGGGGGAAGAGATAGTGTCATCTTTCTTTAATTGACACTAAGTGTTTAGCTTGAGGGCATGACATACTTGTACGGATTAACTCAAAAATCGAACTCTCTCGCTAAAAATGGGGGTGCACTGTTATTTGTTTGTTGAATCTTTTTACACTCAGATGTATTGTAGACGGAATTACATGGTGCGGTGCATCCCGTGCACTTAGACTGGTAGAGACACCATCCAAACACTCATTTCCCCTCTAATTAGTGTCAGGCAACTTGAATTTTAAAAGCTTAATGCAAGAACCAAAGAATCATTTTCTTGACTATTTGGTCCATTTTTATGCTCGAATTGAGTTTTAGAACAGTTTCTTTATTCTGTGCAGAATTGGGTGGTCAGATGTGATATTTTAATATCGTCTGCCTGAAGCTGAAGGGATTAAATGTTACAATGTAGCTATCAGATATTTGAGTGGAAATCCATACTAGTAGAAGTGGTTTAGTTCGCTTTATACGTGTATTAGATCATACATACCACAAAAAGAAAAAAAAGTATCAACCACAAAAGGACGAAAACGTTTTGTAAGAACTGTCTGTAGCATGTAATTTGTAATTAGTCTTCTCTTGAATATATGTGTATTAGAGATCGTAAATTTAAAATCTCATGTAAAATTGTTCCCAGTAGTGCATTATTTAACGACTCCTCGTTACGAACTTAGGGACCCTTCCCAGAGATATTTGGATCGATCTATCTCCCTGGGGAGTCTCATTAAATTGCTATCAATATAACCGGCTTAAACGTCTGTCACGCCTTGTAAAGCTGTTAGGGGGTAATTATCTTTACCCCTAGCTGATTCGGTAGGCGTGACAGACATTTAAGCCGGCAAGTTGATAGCAATTTAGTGAGACTCCCCAGGGAGTTAGACTGATCCAGATGGATCGATCTAGGCATGGGAACCCAATCTTAATCTTGTGTTATATGTCAGTTTCATGAATCAAATACGTAGGGAAATAAGTGAACGACACTTACGACCAAAGTTAGCTAACGATGTTTTCGTGAAACCAGCCCAAGGCACTTTTAAATGAAGCCACTCTGTTTTCACAGATCAATTGCCAGAAACTAGTTGAAAGCAAAACCATACTTATGTCCAAGGAAATTGCCAGTAAAACAAAAATAAAACGAAATCGATACTGTGCTTTAAAATCGACACCTTTGTGATGTTGGCATCAGAATTATTATTCTAAAAATATTTACGAAAGTTTATTTTCTATTACACAAAAACTGTAGAACATAATGATTACTGGGGTTACTTCTGTTCTTTAACACTCTGACTTACAAAGGTTCATGGAATGAAGGTAAATCAGTGTATACTACCAAGACTAGAGCGTGAGAAGATGATATTCCACATACGTTGTAGAGAGACTCAAAATTCCCCCCCCCCCCCAAATTCTCACATAGAACAGAATGATTACTAGGGTAACTACTGTCACTTCACACTCTATCATTCAGAGGTTCATGAAATGAAGTAAAATCTGTTCATACAGACTGGACGGAAGATGTAGGGAGACTCCGTTTTTCCATCAAGATTCTCACGTACTGTGTCTCAACGACCACCAACACAGTCACAAGTTTTAACTGCTTCATTTCCAATTCACGGGTGTTTTTTTTAACGTGAGGGTCTGACAGATAGGGTGGGGTTAACATTTTGAATCATTAGCACCATAAATTTTAGTATAAAAAAGGAAATAAGAAAGAAAAACACTGTCAAGTGTGGAAAAAAAAAAAAAAAAAAAAAAAAAAAAAAAATGCCACAGTGATGCATTACTGAGCACTTGTTAGCAAGTTGTGGTTTTGTAATATGACATCACGAAAAGAACTTTTTCACGTATGTTCTGCATCGTGTTGAACCCCACCAGTTTCTCACTCCGAAAGGCATGGAACAACTTTCTTGCCACTTATGGCAGTCATTATGGCCGAATGTGGGGGTCAAATTTTCCATAACAATTTCGGACATAATCTCTGCGTTGTTTCTAACAAAAGAAACAAACACTGAGTAATGGGTTACTTCTCATCAAGTAATTGCCAAATGTCACACGGTTCGTTAATCGGACCACCGGCCCACCTGTCCCAGATGTAGTACTCTAGTCAGCGGAGAGACTTGTCGCCAAATTAAAAACGGCGTTTCAAGTGGTCACCTGTTGGAAAAGAACTAGCAGGTGTTGAAGTGGACAGCGTGCGTGTAATAAGATTCATGAAAATGGTCTCTATCCAGATTGGACGTGTTCGAAGAATACTCTGAAAATTGTGTCACTCGTTTTATACAGTCTTAAATCTTTTTTTTTTACCAGGAATCAATTAAATACCTATAAAAACGCACCATATAAAAAATTAATAATATAAAATACACATAATTAGCATTATTGAGTGCAAGCTAAGGACAACTTCGAAGAAGTGATCTTTTAGGATTTTTTTGTATAAAAAAGGGAGAGGAGTGTCGTGCCAGACGTACTGCATTGTCAAATCTTGTTCAAAGATATTTGCTCTTTCTGCACTACAGCTGTAGAAGAATGGCAATCCAAACTTTGATTCTATAAACGAACTTTGACGAATTGCTGTTTCTAAAACATAGTGTAACATTTGCAGCCCCAACTGTTTATTCACGTGCAGTAGAGTGCGTTTCAAAGTCTGACAGGTACATATTGTGAAAAGAGTGCATTTTGATTCTTATTGCAACAGCCTAGTGGTTTAAAATCTTGTGTGTCTGCCAAAATGTATCTGTGTCACTTTTTTTTCTTTTTTTTTTCTTAAATTATTTTAGTGAAAACGTGCTGCTTTCTATTCGGGAACCATTTATAAACACCACACTCTTTACTGAAGTGTGTGGAACTAATCGCATAAGGCAATTCCCGCGAAGACTTCCTTTGCTATTTCAAGTGTTCATGAGAACCGTGGCAGGTCTGCAATATTGCTTACTCCAGTGCATAGACAGAACCCCCAACTAGAAGGGTTAATTATTTTTTCAAGTGTCCACAAGAAGTTGTAGCAATTAATCTGTTTAAAGGCTTTCGACGCCGTCTCAAGCATTTCAAATAAAGATTGTCAGGTCAAAGTATTCAGATGCCTGAGTAAACACAATGGTTTTGATATGATACTGTACTTGATAGAAATGAAAACCGCATTTTTTTCTCCTTAGTCTGGGCGACAGATGCACAGTTTACAGTAGCGTGTCGTTCGAGTGTCGGCAACTGTATGAGAGAAATGGCTTTCCCATTGTGCGAACAGCATCGTATGTTTCTGCAGTGGCACTATTTTCAAACATAAGTGGCGTTACAAGAAACAAACTAGCATTCTCTACTTTAAAAGCACTTGGGAAGAGCTGATCCGCAGGCTTGTCTGAAATGTGTTTTCTTTGGTAGTTAGAACACCATTTTTCTAAAATGATGAACGAATCTGTTTTGATTTTTCTTGCCACTTTCTCTAGTCCAAAGCAGAACGCCAACTTGGCAATATGTATGTCACAGTTAGAATCAAATCAAGATGTATTAGATTAGAGTATAAAGCAGATTTGAATTTTACCTAAGCAAAACTCAGTTCGTATCTCACCTAGGCTGGTTGCCAAATTGCCTGGATTTGAATCTAACCATCTCTGTTTTACTTGAGAGTGGTCCACTGAATGATGTTATTGTTGCTTATATATATTCGCTGTGTCAATTTTGTTGCGTTGAAAATTGAACTAAAACGCAAGTAAAACCCGATATACATACCTATGATTTATTTCTACGTTGGTATTACTTCAGATATCAAAAAGCTGTCTTTATATGGTGATGACTCGGATGGTGAACCCCCACAGAAGGACCAATCATCCCGGAGTTCGGATATGTACTATGACGGCACCCTTTCAGACTCCCCCCTGTACCGTGACCGTTACCAGTCATCCTACAGCAGCACCCCCTTTAGCCAACTGACCACTGTTCCCAAACGACCCTTCTTGCTGTCCAGGGAGCTAAAACAATTGGCCATTGAGGGAAATCGGATCAAGATTGTTCACGAGCGGCAGTTTGAGATGTTGCACGATTTGAAGAAACTGTCACTAAAGAATAACCGCCTGAAGACGATATCTCGTGAGGCCTTTGATGGGCTGACGGCCCTAGAGGATCTTGACTTGTCAGGGAACCATATTGAGGAACTTCATAAGTCCATTCTGCAGAAAACGACCAAATTGAAGCGACTAAACCTTAAAAGTAATCGGCTTTACTATCTGGACGAATATGCCCTTAGAACATTGACCCAATTAGAATTTCTTGATATGTCAAATAATTATATCAACGACCTGCCAGCCGCCATCTTTAGCGAGCTGGTAAACCTCAAAGAACTCTACCTAGATAACAATAACATTGCCATTTTAGGCTGGATATGGTTCAGGCAACTTGCTCGGTTGGAAAAGTTGTCCCTAAAGGGGAATGGGGTTGTTGTCGTGCCGCCCCAGGCCTTTGAACCATTATACAACCTCCGAGTTCTCTCTCTGGCTAACAACAAGTTGGACACTCTTACATATGACACCTTCAAAAATCTTGCAAAAATGGAAACATTGGATTTATCAAACAATAGCATATCCAAGATTGACGACTCGACTTTCCATCACATGTCAAAGTTGGAATCCTTAAACTTGAATCGTAATAGGATCCAAAGTATTGGCAGACTTTTCCAAAGCAACTTCTCCTCACTACATGTGCTGTCTCTGTCAAGAAACCGGATTGAAACCTTGCAAAGCCAGGATATCCGGCGCGTTATGAAGCTGAACAAATTGGATCTTTCTTATAACAAACTAAAGGACATAAGAACCCGCACTTTTACCGGATTTACAAACCTGAGAATTCTTAAACTTGACCACAATGACATCAGAGACATTGAGGACGAGGCCTTTACTGTGGCTGTCGTGAATACCCTTTCAAAACTCACTTGGCTTTATTTACAATACAATGAAATGACAGCCATTCGTCCCAGGGCCTTATATGGACTGCCTTACCTAAAGTTTCTCAATTTAGCCCATAATAAAATCGAAAATATGGCCTCCACTTCCTTTAATTGGATGGGAGGAGTAAGGTCCCTCATGCTGAATACCAACAAACTTTCAAAGATCGACACTGGAATGTTCCAGAAAATGGGTGTCTTGAAACACTTGAACCTTGCTGACAATAAACTGCGTACTTTGCCTTTCAATACTTTATTGGGGTTAGAGAATTTGGAGGAAATCAACCTTGGTTCAAACAGAATCAAAGGTCTGGCAGATGATGCCTTCTTGGACACCCCGAACCTGCGTCGAATTGACCTGCGCAGCAACAGGATAAACACTGTGGATATGAAAACATTTTCACCAATTTTACGACTGAGATACCTCAACTTCGCCAAAAACAAAATATCTCGTGTCAGGATGTCAAACACCCATCAGAAAAGTATAAAATATTTGTCGTTTGCGGACAACAACTTGGCGACATTAAGCGAAAAAGTCCCCATGATGATGAGACCTTACGGATATATCCATTTGTATGGCAACCCTTGGGCATGTGACTGTAGACTGGCATGGCTGGCAAACAGGGAGAACAGGCTCCGAGTTGTTAATAGTCATGACGTCATGTGCAAGACACCGTCTTGGTATACGGGAAGATCTGTAAGTAATTTTTTCTTTGAATAATTCTTTGAATACATGCTATTATGTCATCAAATTGAATAAGCTACCATATTAATTTATTTTATATTTAGATTGTGTTGCTATGATTTAAAGTGAGTTATTATGGAATACCAGCATGCTAAAGATACTTGGATATTGTAGAAGCCTCACGACCGCTGTTAAATAACTTGGAGAGGAATTCCTGAAACTTTAGTGGCTCGCACAGCTGTTGTTCAGTTAGCCCTAGGGTCCATGAAATGTGGCTCACACCTGACCTAACACGCATAAACTAACAACGTGCTTAGCCACTTATTGACATGATACCTATTGGGGGCAATTCTAGACGTGTTTTTGAACACGATGAAGCAATATTTTGCTTCTTACTGGAGATAAGGGGATGTCCGTTTGACCTTTTCTACTTGTGAATTTTAGGTGCTAGAAATCCAGCCGGATCGTTTCGTCTGCGTTCCTCAGTCACGTGCGGCCGCCGCAATGCAAATGGGCCGACGTCATGTTGGTGGTCTAAGTTGTGCTTTACCGCCTGCAGATATTGAAAACATTGCCGCAACCCAGATAGCGTACGTATAGGCTTGTCGCAACGTGTAACATGACTGTACCTTGTTTGATCAAGGAATAAGAACCTAATTTAAATCTAAACACTAATTTCGAGAACAGGAAGTTGGCGGTACCGTCTTACACGGAACGCAGAAATAGGAAGCATATTACGGAACGAATTATTTTTTATCAATCGTTTTTCCTTCCACCTAATAAACCAAATGATAGAATATTCCTTATCAGACACCCTACCCATAAACCCCCTAGGGTTTTTCACCGAGAATAACTTTCTTTCATCCTATTTTTTCGTTACTTAGTTGGAAGAGGAAAGCAGTATTCCCCATGCACGCCACCGTCCTTAACACGGAGGGCTTACCCGCGTGCGCTGGCCTCCACGTGGACAGAGACTGGGTGCTAACCATGGGCAGCTGCCTGTCTCTTAAGCGTGAGGACGGATCGCCACTCGTGAACAGGACTGCTGCGGTCAGGCTCGGGGAGTACAGGGAAGGAAGAACGCGGGACGCCCCAAAGACGATTGAGTCGATATTTGTCCACCCACAGTCAAACAACGGTCGTTTCGACGTTGCCCTTGCCAAGCTGAAGCCAACGTATCAGTCTGGAGCGCGGGCTCAGGAGTACCCTTGCGTGCTGACAGAACACCACATCGATGTCGTTCAGAGGTTGGGTATGAAGGGCGTTGTCAGCGCTCAGCAATCGAGAGGGACTACGTCAACACGGGTTAAGCTTCGAATGGCTCCCATCTACCTCACCCCTAAACCTCAATGCAGGGCGTCTGGATTTATCTGTGGTACGTCGAAAATCTACAGAATAAAGCCGGACCAGGAGGTCCCTTACCGCACCAAAGGTTCCCCCTTGTTCTTTGACATGGGGCCAAGGGGATGGACCATAGGGGGGATTCAGAATGGACAGTTGAATGGCAATGAGGGATGGTTCATGCCTGCTTATGCGTATCTGTCTTGGATGGAAAACACCATACAAAGATACTCTAGACAGTAAAATATTATGATCGGAATATGATTGTAGGAATTAGTTAAATAACGTGCGGACCAATATTATGGTGATTACGCACTTTGCAGACAGGTTCAAACAACGAAAGCAAAACCATAGTTTTTCATAGCGATATATTTCCGATTATGCAGGAAATTTAGTGGAAATAGATTATTACAAGAACAGGTTAGACGATTTTAATTATGAGAAAAATTTTGAGAGTTTTTTGGGTGGTAATATTAAGATGTTCACCACATTTGTAACATGAAGTAACCTGCTACACTTACACATTTGAAAAAGGTTGTATTCGACTATGTTAACAACTGGTTATCTGGTGCAATATTATCATTGCTCTAACGGAATTTTACTGACCAGAAGTGGAAAAAACGCATTTAAACGCAGGTTATACAAAGTTCGCTAAATATTTCTGTGGTTGATTTAACTAAATGCGTTTAAACCTTATGAGATTAGATGATGTTGTTTACCACATGAGATTTATCTTCTTGTTTATCAGCTCATTTGAAATCTCACTGGTTTCGTTTTGACCTCCACTACTATGACATTTTAAACTATTTAAGAGACAAAAATTAAGTCAACAGTTCTGTAGCATCTAAAAGTAGTATCATATTTATTTCATGTAATTTAGTCGTGTACGTAACTAATCTCTTTTCTACATTTTCGTTCTAATAATATCATAAAGTTTTTTGTTGAGACACTGTTGTATATAGCTAAATATTGTATATAAGATGTAAATAGGCGTACTCCTTTGTTTCGCTAACTTTGTTTTAATAAAGATAAGTAGTGGAATACTTGAACAGTGTGGCGAATGGCGTTCTTTGTTGGCGTGTCTTATGTGATTAACCACCTTGTAAGTTAGATGTATTTAACTAAATAATTTTGATCTTCACCAGTTTAAAGTGTTATTGGAATATGTTATAAATTGAACTTACAGCAAAGTGATCTTTTAGTCGTTTGAAGCCAACTTGTTAAGATGTTTCTTTAACAAAACGCTATATGGCATGCACTTGAAAGAATTGGTGGCTGTCACAGAATTAACAGAAGAATCAAACCATGATTACTGAAACCAGGTTGTCATTTGACCCGTGATCTTTGTTAGTTGTGAAAAACTACACGGGAATGGATTTCTGACATAGCTTTACAATACACTGCCATTATCATTGTACTACCTACCAGTTCCCATTAGTCAAGGGACGCCTGTCGTCTGCTCAATACAAGATGGATGCACTGGTCATTCAGGAGGCGTTTTGATGCCATAATTAAAGATACAATAAAATATTTATTTCGTAAACGTCTCCAGTGGTGCATATTAGTGCCGCGTGATGCGGATATCATTTATGTGAGCGTTCAATGAACTTGAAGTATGAGTGCCGCTGTGTTCATTCTCTCTCTCTCTCTCTCTCTCTCTCTCTCTCTCGCCGCGATCACTCCCAAGTTCTTTCACACACACACACACACGCGCGCGCGCGCGCGCGCACACACACACACACACATACACACACACACACACACACACATGAACGTGAACACTAGCACGAAGTCATAAAATATATATCATTATTATTATATGTGATTTCCAGGTTTCAAAATACCAGGCACAACCGTACTGCCAAGAAAAACGCACTGGCAACCAAAAGAAGCAGAGCTTAAAATAGCAGATCGCCAAAAGACATTAATCATGAGATCTAATAATAGGTATTTCTCTTCTTAAATCATAATGAAGCACAGATTTATTGCCAGAATGCATTTGTGTAATGTGATCGAATACCCTGAATTTGAGGGTTTCTCGGAAACGTCACGTTAGCATGCCACTGCTGACGGATACTGCATGCAGTGCTACGAAACGCAGGGTGTGCAAAATGGGCCTGTAACAAACTAATCAAAGGAACAGCCTTGGGAAAGGTAGCACTGCGAAGGAAAGGGTACGGAACGAAAAAGCAAGAGAGATTTATTTTGTTTGTTTAGGAAATGGCCGGTTGTAGTGCAAGGCGCTGGCCATCCAGGGCTGTGTGGTCCGAGAAAAGCCCATTAAGAAATTGAGTATGACACTTATTACTCATCCTGGCCATATTCCCCGTATACTTAGCTGCTCAAAATGGCAGCCGCTCTCTTTCGCAAGGCTGTTTTCGTTCTTCCAAATGTTTTATTTTGTTTGTTTTGTTTGAAGGCGTTCTCGAACGTATTACTAGTGTTGGGTCCTCCCATGAAAACAACTTTTTTTGATGTCGTGTTACTTTCATCATCAATGCCAAATGTAAACTTTCTCTAAACTTTCTCTGATTGAAAACACTGTATATAAACGCTTTATCTTGAATATTTTATTAATTTCCTCCTGGCAACATCTCTATCCGTTATGAAACTGCCTGCATTGTCGCAAATAACGACCAAATTGTGAGACCAATTTAATGCTTCTCAATTTAAAAAATAACTCTCCTTTGAAACAAAAATTATTCCTTTTGCCTTTTGGGTATGATTATATGAAAATCGACAATTCAGAATATACAAACATATATGGGCATTCGAAATTTTAAGTATTTAAAATGTTATTATTCTAGTTTTGCGAGCGCGTCTGCTACTGGGTCGAAATAGAACGCAACCATTCCTTACGGCTGTACAGGGGGGTATAAAGCACTAGACGCCTCCAAGTGGCAGGACAGAGAGTGAGTGTGGATCTTTGGTACCACCCGCCGTGACAGGGACCTTGGGTGAGAGGGCAGGCAAACATCGCAGACAATTGCCCATTCCGAAAGAAATCTCCAAATTAATAATAATTAGTGTGGCTGCTATCAAGAATCAGGAAGGCATTTATCTTCGAGGGACCTCTATGCCTTCCTGCCTGTCTCTTCTAAAAGTCTAAAGCGCGGCTTTTGATCTGAGCGCCATGTTTTGTCAAATCTACGAGAACACGTATTTCGTGTATGTCATCCCTTATCTTTAGGAAATTATAATTGCGATATTTTGATATGAAGTCGTTTTCAGTCTTCTGATGGTCAAGATTTCAGGGCGTTTTCCAGATTCTTTCTTTAGATGTTATTTTAATTTCGCTTTGTGCAGAAAAGCAATAACAAAAGAACAATAACAGCACGTATTTCAAAACCGTTATATTTGCTAAAACTCACATTTGCTGCAAGCGTTAACATAAATATTCGCCAGTGACAGTTGTTTATTAGGTCTTATCTTACTATTCTAAAAGTTTTAAAGGAAAATCTCACACAATATCACATATCCTAGATCATTTCAGGCCCATTGGCAGTTCACATGATGTGCAGAAAGCGAAGACGTATTTTACATTGACTCAATTGAAAATTCACTTATGGCAAAATTCGATAAAACTGATAAAAACAAAAGCTTGTTTGAACACATTAAGAGCTTTTGCTTCTTATATATACTACTTCTAATACTTCTGCTGTCGCTGTGCCGTTGTTGCTGCCACTTCTAATATCTCTCGATTCCACTTGTTTTACTATTACCTGGTTTTTCTCTCTGGGTAATATCTTTGGGTAATATGCGGTAATGTCAAATAACGATATTGGTGGTCCAAGTCTTTATTGACAGGAGTGGTCACAGAGCACGTAGTAGGTTGGTTCCACACAGGTTCAGGAGTACAGTCAGCAACTTTAGAAAGCCCGCTTGGTAGTATCCTCACTTCTCCTTTTTTTAATAATGATTGAGACGGTCAGATTTTTTAATTTACATTGACGGGTATCTAATTTTTTCTATCGGAAGACGGTCAAAAAATGGAGGATGGATAAACAAAGATAATTTGGAAGACTGTCAGAAAATATCTCTGGATCCGCCCCTCATAAGTTGTGATTAGGTATTGGTAAAATAAGCATAAATAAAGCAATGTTCTCGGCCTTCAAAGGTTTTGTCCCCGAAACCCCATAAGTAAAATCAGGTCTCAATGAAACTACTAAGGAAAAGCAAATATATGCAAACACCAATACCGCTATTACACGGTGCAGGGTCCGTCCACCACAGTGAGCATATCAATACAATAGAAATAGATACATGAATAGTGCTCAAGCAATTAGTTAGAAGGTGTTTCCTAACTCAGAAACGCGTAGGGTGGTTTGGTCCAAGATAGATTTCTTGGATTTTAGACATTGAGGAGGTTGGCCTGGGGTAAATTGTGGACGATGCAGGCTACGCATGTTCATGGTCTCACATAGGTCCATGGTATGTTTGAGGGAGGATGAAGTAGTGGGCGGGCGCAACTAGCATGTGAATGTCCGTGACATGGGGAAGGTGAGTCGTTAGGTGCCACTTAAAACAACATAGCCTTTATTTATAAGGTCAGGGGGTAGTCTCATGCGACAACGCGGGTTTATACTGACTGATGCGGGCAAAGTGCTCCAAACGGGGGTATGACACAAGAGAGTGGTGCAATGAGTATGGGAGACTTCAGCTGTGTGTTGTTTGCACTACTAGTGCCAGCGCTGATTTTCTTATCAGATAAATGCTATTAATCAATCAATATTTCTATCTATCTATCTATCTATCTATCTATAATTACTGCCGTGTGGCAGAAATGTATTTAAGAACCGTAGTCCGTTCCCCACCACTTTGCACAGGTGATATTAATCCCATGTACGAACCGAAATACTCTTACATGTGTATCAACCGGGATCATCGTGGGGGTCTTTTCTAACTTGTATTCGTCTTTTTTTATCCCAGTGATAAGTTAATATATTTTTAAAGGAAGAACAAGTCCACTTGCTGTTTCCTTAAGTTACTTTATTCTTTCTCAGTCCGTGCACCGTCAACACACTCCTGAATTAAAACAATACAATTGACAATAGTGGAAGTAAACGTCTGGAAGTAACTGCCCAAAAGTAACTGTATGCGTCGATGATTGAATCTGAATGAACGAATAAGAGAGTAAAAGTAGCTGTAAGTAAGTGAGTAAGTAAGCGTATAAGTGAAAGCGAGCGGTCTCTTTTTATACCTTTTTGACTACCACGCCCAAATGATACCCAAAACCCCAACTTTCACGTGTCTTACTTGTATTCTATCCCCAAATTTCTTTTAAAAGGGTGACAGTTACATAACTTCAAGCAGCTTATTTTATGTACTTCCAGGACTTGCCTCTTGCTAGTTTACTTTACATTATATACTATATAATCAATCGTTCCTATTACATATCAATGAATGTACGATGTCCATGGCAAGATATATTCTAGTAACCTCACAGCTTGTACGAAAGGTCAAGTGTTAAAATGATACCTTCTACCTAACTTATGTTACTCATTTTGGCAGTAGGGCCTACACATAAGAAATTTATTATGTTCAATTCATTTTCACAAATGAATATAAATTGCAACAAAATTATCATTATTTTTCTTATTTGTGAATAATGATATTATATTCTTTCAAAACCAACCTGTATAAATAAAATCAGTATAATAATCCGACTAACCCTAACCTGTACTAACCATATGGGAACCCGGACTTCCAAACCTAGGATCGCATTCACGAGTTGAGCCAGGCTTTACAAATCCTGGGGACTAAATATGGCGGACGTACATGAAAGAAAAACCGCCTAATCTTTTAATGGTCTCTCCGCCTCTCACACGCCTCCCCATGTGTCGTCCCAATAGAGCCGAGATTTAATGACTGTCCCCCCGCAGGGACGACGTGTGGGGAGGCGTGTGAGAGGCGTGTGAGAGGCGGAGAGACTATTAAAAGATTAGGCGGTTTTTCTTTCATGTACGTCCGCCATATTTAGTCCCCAGGATTTGTAAAGCCTGGCTCAACTCGTTGTGAATGCGATCTAGGACTGCCATTCCCGTCACACCTGGTTTCTAATAGATAAATAAGTATTGGTACTAGCCATTCACCAAGCCTCCTTCCCGATTATATGAACTAGAGAGACGTCGAATTATTGGAGTAAATAACAATTTCAATACTAGCTTTTGAAAAATAATATATCGATTCATTCTTATATCGCATATCACAGGTAATGAAATTCTTTCCTGGAATAAAAAAAAGAATAAATTGTATAAATTGAATTTTAATTTGAATTTAATTAAAATTGAACAATCCCATATGTAGTATGTAGTTATCTTATGAATAAAATCAATGTACTACTACTACTACATGTACTGCTACTACTACCTCTACTACTACATGTACATGTACTACTGCTACTACTTCTACTATTACTATTACTTTATCAACCGAGTTTATTGTATGTGAACGCGGGGGTCTATTCCCGATGTTAGTCTCTCTATCCCGGTGATAATCGAGGAAGGACAAGTCACTGATTTTTCCGAAAAGTTATTTATTCCGTTAATGAAACGATTGGTAAATACACTTTAACCTGGTGAACAACTGCCTAGAACGTAGCTACTTGACATTAATAGCTTGATGATCACTGTAGCCGGCACTAAGTTAAATCCATACTAAGGACTGTAAATGAAGTAGTGAATAAGTAAGTAGTAAGTAAGTGAGTAAGTAAGTAAGTTAAAAGAGAGCCAGTGGTCTCTTTTTATACCCTTTTGACTACCGCGCCCAAACGATAGCCAAACCCCAATTTTCACGTAATGATGTATACTCTACTTCCAAATTTCCTTAAAAGGTGCCAGATATATAACTTCAAGCAGCTTACTTTCTATACCTCTAGGAGTTGCCTCTTTCTAGCTTTCTTTGGTTCGTATAGTAAACTAATCTATCTTTACTTTTATGTATCACTGACCAAATGATGTCCATTGCAGGATCCACCATAGCAATACCCTGGTTTGTATGAAAGGTCAGGTGATAACATGATACTTAAAACCTAAGCTATATTACTCATATAATCATGTTGAATTCATTTTCAGAAAGGAATACAAGTTGATTAACAAAACTTTTACTGTTTGTCTTTTTTTTCTAAGTATTGACATTAAATTCTTTTAAAAATAACACGCATAAATGAAATCAGTATAATAACTTTCCCGTTCTTCACAAGTTTTGTCCTCAAAACGTACATAAATAAAATCAGTATAATAACTTACTGTTAATGATAATAATAGCAATAAGAAACTGTAACCATTGACTTTACATCCCCGCCTAAAACACGTAACTGTTTTCTATTACATAGAAAACTAGGCAGCTATGCACTGTTTTTGCCACCATTCAAGTACATTGCTAACTATGATATTGTTACGTAGATCTCAGTTATCAAGTCCATTTTAAATCATAACTTATCATATGTCTGACAATAATAAAATAGTTTGGTGTTTTCTTCCCGTGTTCCACGTAAAATTTGACACAAATTAACACGATCACATTTGGTTCAACTTCACATCACGTTTAATAACAACGACTTGTTAAATTGAAGGTGACATGAAGGGCCTTTGTGACCCGTGTAGTTGCTAAATTTTACATCCTATTCAATACTTTGCTTAATCAAAATGGACCACTGCATTGTTTTTCGGGGCGTTGATTAATAACTGGAATGCTAACTTCAGGCTGGTAATGATTTGTTCGGTGTGAAAATTGTTTCACGTTTGCCGGGTACATTGCTAACTTTCAATAGGTCATTGTTTCAATACATCCCTTTCAGTTGGTCAGAAAAGAGTAAAGTTTTGTTTCTGGATCAATACAAATTTCTGGATCAACTCCAAATGCTCTACTGTATTAAAATATCTGAGGTAGAATCCGTTTGTACTTAACGAATAAAAATGAGCAAGATAGTTATGTCAACTAAACAACTTAACAACTTCAAGCAAAAAGCGTTGATATAACCAACAGTTAATTGAGCAATTAGCGTGACTTTTTCTTGGTCCACCTTCATTTTTTTTTGACAGGAAACGTAATGTCTCTTACAGCCGTCGGTGTTTTGAGAATGGAGAAAGCCGATCTCTATGCACCAGATCGAAGAACTAGACGCGCCATACCGCAATGTTTCTCAGAACGTCCCCAGTGTCAAAAGATGTTCTAGGGTGCTGCGTGGTGTGCTGTCGCATTCCAGGCTCAGGTCCCTTTCGCCCTGAAATGACCAATTGATCCCTGGACATTTTAATCACGATAACGAGAAAAACACATAGTAACTTTGTTAGCGAAAAAGAAAGGGTTGGGAGGGTCGATGGGGTTAAGCACTATATGCCGTCCTTGTGGATATTGTTTTCCATTGTGTTGTTGAGTGTGCAATAGATCTGGTATTTGTTTGTAAATGATATTGGTTTTGTAGGTAATATTGTCGGAGAAATATGCGTGCTGCTGGTGAAACGTTTTCATTCATGTATATATTTCTTTTCAATCTAATCGACAAATCATATAAAATATGACTGAGTACAGTATATGATTGAAACAGCATAATGATGAATCAAAATTATTAAAAATAAAAGAATAGATAAAAGGGAGGGCGAAGAACATTTTCTTCCAATTAAGATTTTTAGCCTGATCATATTCCTGTTGCAAGAGAAGTGCTTTCAAGAGAGAGAAAAAAAGACCCTACAGACAGTCGTTATTGATAATCCCCAAAGATGACCCTTGGTTTTCGTTTCGACACATGCTGTTAACACAGCCAATGAACTGAGTTACACTTCTGTTTTATAAGTATACTCTCGACAGATTTTACAGCTGATCACTCATACAATACAGGAAAACAAGAAGTCCTATGTCAGAGTGAGTTGGGTAAGAATCTGGCAAATCCATTAAGCGACACCCCGGCATCGACACTGATAAGTCCTTGCTATTAAAATGTCAGCGGGTAGGGCTTTAAAAAACTGTTGTTTTGCAAAGGATCACTGCGCCGCCATATTCTTACGATGAATTCTCTATTGTTTTCTTTTTTCTTTAAACATAACATCACATCCGACATCACGTCGTGAAATTAGGTTCCCGATAAGTACAGTGATAACTAGACAAGTCACAGCCAAGAACAGCACTAAAATAGACTAACGTAAAGCATTTACATGTTCGAAGCAAATGTGTGTGCTTATTGTGCTTATTGTGTCCTGGCATTTAAGATATCAACGATGTAAAGATAAAAGTATCTGTATTAGATCATTATCTTTGAACTGCATTTAATCAGTTTTATAAATGGACGCCTCAAGGACAAAAATGATGGAAGAGAGATGGTATCGTATCGACCAGGGTTTCAGAAATTACTGGAAACCGCCCTTCACTTCCAGCATACCTCTGCCGTTTCCGGTAATTCTCAGAGTGCCAGGGTGTAGTATAGAAGGTCGCAACGTTTTTGCACTTTGCCCATGCAAGAACCACTACATAGGATCTTGATTAATTTCCTTGAGTGATAGCTTGGCACGATAAGTGTAGAAATGAGCTATACCCCTGCAGTTTCCTATACGCCATAGATGCCACATATCACAGTAAACATGTTCACTAAAAAGTCAAACTCGACTCAAAAAGTAAATGGTAATTGATCTACGCAATGCCAACATTCTCGTCTGATTTGATTAGGAAACATTCGTAAATGCCAACGCTGTTTTCTAGCACAGAAGATTTACTAGTCGTGTTCAGGGCGCTCATGTCTTCCTACGAGGCAGAAAGTACGAAATAAGTGCGCCAAAATCTAGTTTTCAATTTGTAATTTAAAAAACTGAACAGCTCTCGGCCTAAATTATCCACTCCATGGAAGTTGAAGGAAAAAAAAGCATGAAAATATATGCGTGATATACTTAATTTGACTTGCATCTGGGAATGCCGACTTAAATGATCATAGAAAAGGTACCATTCTTGTATTCTGCTGCATTTCTAGCAAGAATAATAAATCCACTGGTTGTAAAGCGTGGACACATAAACGACACAAAAATATCCTCTTTCATTAAAATCCGAAACTAAAATAGACACACTTCATTCTTGCACATTATCCATAATATAAAATTGCCTTTCTTATCTTTCACATGAGATCTACTTCCTTGATTAATAAACCACAGATGTTTTTTTCTTTTCAGATAAATATTATTTTATAATAATGAAGCTTTGTGTTTCCAGATATGTTTGACCCTCGAAGAAATTAAAGTAAACAGGCCCACGTTCCCTTATGGTCTACTATTCAACTCCCAAAGGAACGTGTCCTTATCATCTCCTTTTAAAATAAGTTTATATCTTCCCCTTTTTTGGCCCAACCGGAAACCCGCAGTTGCCATCAATCAGATCATTGAGATTTTAGATCTGATAAAAAATACAGAAACCTTGTAGAGACGTGTAGTGAAAGGAAATTAGGAAGCCCATTTTTCCCATGTACACGATATCTAATACTGATAATTGGTGATCATGGGGCCTGAGTAAAAACAAGTCACTGTTGCGACCATTTAGGAATTCAGGCTGTTGTGGTTTTTGGAAAAATAAAACGGTAGGCAAGTAACCGTGTTGGGAATTTGCAAAATGCCTCTCATTCATTCAAGAAATTGGATTAAGATGATATATCACGGTTATTTAAAATACGCACCTTGGAAACTCCCTGGGCGTTCCGAGAGAATTTTTTATAGCCTTGTGTTTCTGCGTACTGGCTGCAAGACATTACTGTACCTTTCGTATCTCCCCACTAGAATGCAAGTAAAACGCACTTTTAATGGCTCAAATTGAAAATCGGAAGAAAATATACCTTAATTTCAGTTGGACTGAAACTGAGGAACCTTAAGCGATTTAACACAGCATATTTAAATAGAAATAACACGAAAGCATTTAAAACCTGGAAGAACACACATAACTGTTTAGTTGAAATGTTGTAGAGATTCTGCTGTAAAATTGTGGTAGTAAAAATTTTAACAGGTCTCGAAAAGGAACTACTACTACAATTTGTAATGCAATCGCTATACAACTTTGAGCAGTGAAAAATTAATAGTTTGGCTAATGCAACCCAAAGAAAATTGCATTAATATTGCCATCATCATGCAATAATTTTGGGCATTTGTTTATTAGGTCTATTTGTGATCCGTCTCATACAGCAGGTACGGTGGCATGTCTGAGTTTCTCCAACATGAGATGTCAGAATGTATACAATAATCATTGACGGACAACCTTTTATTTTTACGTTCATTACACACACATACACACACACAGAGAGAGAGAGAGAGAGAGAGAGAAAGAGAGAGACCTGATGGACATCGTCCCAGCTCTCGCCATGGTAAACCAGTACACACGCAATGCCCCATCTCCCATACAACAGAGCTAAGTAGAGAGGCGACTGCCGATGGATCTGAAAAGAATCGAAGATTTAATTTAATCTGCATTATAAAATGATTCATTAGTGTCCTAATTGGGAGATAAAACCATCTCTAATACACACAAAGAAAACAGACATATAAAGATACATGTATTAGAATAATCAAAAGTGTTAGAATGTGACTTTTTTTTATTGCTTTAGCCTTTCTTACCATGTCCCGAAATTCGTTTGCTTTGATCCTTCCATCGATAAAGATTCTCTTTGCTGCCTCCGTATCCCCGTGTACTATCGCTTCCACCAGTTTGGAATATTGCAGTACTAGATGCAGCCGGTACAGGTCGGTGGTTTTATCGTGGGGAGGATAAAGGGAGCGTTCAGAATCGATATTTGCAAGCTGAAAAAAAAAAAAAAAAACGATGGACAATAAAAGAACGAACAAATAATTGCTTCCGTTAGCTCCTCTTTCTTATATTCTTATATTCTTCAGGTTAGTGATAAACAATTTCGATGTGATGTGATTTTTACAAATTACTTATGATCAAATGTTGTATATAAATATGTACCATTTTGAACTCGGTTTTGTATTTTGATTTTCATTTTACATATCTTATTTTTCTCATTTTAATGAGTGATGGCTTACTGCTGTTTCCGCCGATTCCAGCAATGCCAACATTTCACGGTTAGCAAAATCACGAGCATATTCTTGAGCGCTCTTATCTGCGTGGTAGACGTTGAGGTAGTAATAGCCATTTTCAAAAAGTCTTCGTATTTCTTTGACATTTTGAGTTAAGATTAGGTTGAGAACGTGCTGAAACAGGAGAAAAAAGATTTAGTTAAATTGCAATAAGCTTGATATTTTACACCTGTTTAATCTAATTCTATTTACAATTCTTTTTTTTTAGATAGAAATATTCTCCTTAATAATAATAATAATAATAATAATAATAATAATAATAATAATAAAGTACTGCCGAATGTAAATTGCAATTCACAAGACAGAACGAATAAAACATTATACCACCAGTTTTTTAAAATATTTTTGTGCGACCCTCTCACCTCGTCTAGAGTTCTTTCAAACTCCTCTGTTGGGTTTATGCGGGCCAGGTCTCTAGAGTTCAAGCCGTCCTGCAACGAATGAATTGTAAGACCTAATTAATCATGTAAATATAAGTTAAGAAATAATCATCAATCTTCGATAAATCGGCCAGCAATGGAGAAGCGCTGTGATCTACTTACCTGGGTTTTGATGGCTGGGTCGCCCCCATACTCCAAGAGTTGCCAGATGCGTGGTGCCAGCCTCAAACACGTGGATATGGCCAGCTGCATGCACGTTTTGCCATGCTGTAGAAATAAATTATAGTTTAAATATTGTTGCTGATTTTCCATATTTGTATTTAGCTGTCAGATATTCATTGCGTCATTTCATCAAAGAAATGCTGTTGATATGGGTGGATTTTGAACTCTCCAAATAAACAGTTATGTTCAATTGGCCAAAGACAAAACCATTATAAAACTGATAGAAAAATGATTTGATACCTTATGATGCAAAAGGTTACATACATGTACCACCCAACTTTCCCGAATGGTGCACAATAACATCAGTAATTTCATTAAGAAAATTGTTTAGGTTGTGAGTGCACAGTACTTAGAAAAAAACAATATCGAGCATGCTTTAAGGCCGGTGATAGNAAAGGAAATTAGGAAGCCCATTTTTCCCATGTACACGATATCTAATACTGATAATTGGTGATCATGGGGCCTGAGTAAAAACAAGTCACTGTTGCGACCATTTAGGAATTCAGGCTGTTGTGGTTTTTGGAAAAATAAAACGGTAGGCAAGTAACCGTGTTGGGAATTTGCAAAATGCTTCTCATTCATGATAAGCTTTTTCAAGAAATTGGATTAAGATGATATGTCATGGTTATTTAAAATACGCACCTTGGAAACTCCCTGGGCGTTCCGAGAGAATTTTTTATAGCCTTGTGTTTCTGCGTACTGGCTGCAAGACATTACTGTGCCTTTCGTGTTTCCCCACTAGAATGATAGTAAAACGAACTTTTAATGGCTCAAATTGAAAATCAGAAGAAAATATACACTAATTTCAGTTGGGTTGAAACTGAGAAGCCTGAAGAAACTTAACACAGCATATCTAAATGGAAATAACACGAAAGCATTTAAAACCTGAAAGAACACGCAGAACTGTTTTGTTGAAATGTTGTAGAGATTCTGCTGTTTAATTGCGGTAGTAAAAATTTTAAAAGGTCTCGAAAAGGAACTACTACTACAATTTGTAATGCAATCGCTATACAGCTTTGAGCAGTGAAATATTAATGACATTAATAGTTTGGCTATTGTAAACCAACAAAAATTGCATCAATATTGCCATCGTAAAGCATATCCATGCAATCATTTTGGGCATTTGTTTATTAGGTCTATTTGTGATCCGTCTCATACAGCAGGTACGGTGGCATGTCTGAGTTTCTCCAACATGAGATGTCAGAATGTATACAATAATCATTGACGGACAGCCTTTAATTTTTACGTTCATCACACACACACACACACACACACACACACACACACACAGAGAGAGAGAGAGAGAGAGAGAGAGAGAGAGAGAGAGAAAGAGAGACCTGATGGACATCGTCCCAGCTCTCGCCATGGTAAACCAGTACACACGCAATGCCCCATCTCCCATACAACAGAGCTAAGTAGAGAGGCGACTGCCGATGAATCTGAAAAGAATCGAAGATTGAATTAAATCTGCATTATAAAATGATTCATTAGTGTCCTAATTGGGAGATAGAGGCATTTCTAATAGGCACAAAGAAAACAGGCATATAAAGATATTAGAATCATCAAAAGTGTTAGAATTTGACTTTTTTATTGCTTTAGCCTTTCTTACCATGTCCCGAAATTCGTTTGCTTTGATCCTTCCATCGATAAAGATTCTCTTTGCTGCCTCTGTATCCCCGTGGACTATCGCCTCCACCAGTTTGGAATATTGCAGTACTAGATGCATCCGGTACAGGTCGGTGGTTTTATCGTGGGGAGGATAAAGGGAGCGTTCAGAATCGATATTTGCAAGCTGAAAAAACGATGGGCATTAAGAGAACGAACAAATAATTGCTTCCGTTAGCTCCTCTTTCTTATATTCTTATATTCTTCAGGTTAGTGATAAACAATTTCGATGTGATGTCATTATTAAAAAAATTCTTATGATCAAATGATGTATATAAATATGTACCATTTTGAACTCGGTTTTGTATTTTGGTTTTCATTTTACATATCTTATTTTTCTCATTTTAATGAGGTGATGGCTTACTGCTGTTTCCGCCGATTCCAGCAATGCCAACATTTCACGGTTAGCAAAATCACGAGCATATTCTTGAGCGCTCTTATCTGCGTGGTAGACGTTGAGGTAGTAATAGCCATTTTCAAAAAGTCTTCGTATTTCTTTGACATTTTGAGTTAAGATTAGGTTGAGAACGTGCTGAAACAGGAGAAAAAAGATTTAGTTAAATTGCAATAAGCTTGATATTTTACAGCTGTTTAATCTAATTCTATTTACAATTCTTTTTTTAGATAGAAATATTCTCCTTAATAATAATAATAATTATAATAATAAAGTACTGCCGAATGTAGATTGCAATTCACAAAACAGAACGAATAAAACATTATACCACCAGTTTTTTTAAATATTTTTGTGCGACCCTCTCACCTCGTCTAGAGTTCTTTCAAACTCCTCTGTTGGGTTTATGCGGGCCAGGTCTCTAGAGTTCAAGCCGTCCTGCAACGAATGAATTGTAAGACCTAATTAATCATGTAAATATAAGTTAAGAAATAATTATCAATTTTCGATAAATCGGACAGCAATGGAGAAACGCTGTGATCTACTTACCTGGGTTTTGATGGCTGGGTCGCCGCCATACTCCAAGAGTTGCCAGATGCGTGGTGCCAGCCTCAAACACGTGGATATGGCCAGCTGCATGCACGTTTTGCCATGCTGTAGAAATAAATTATAGTTTAAATATTGTTGCTGATTTTCCATATTTGTATTTAGCTGTCAGATATTCATTGCGTCATTTCATCAAAGAAATGCTGTTGATATGGGTGGATTTTGAACTCTCCAAATAAACAGTTATGTTCAATTGGACAAAGACAAAACCATTATAAAAATGATTTGATACCTTATGATGCAAAAGGTTACATGTACCACCCAACTTTCCCGAATGGTGCACAATAACATCAGTCATTTCATTAAGAAAATTGTTTAGGTTGTGAGTGCACAGTACTTAGAAAATAACAATATCGAGCATGCTTTAACAATTTTAACAACATAAAATGAGGTAGTTTCAAACGTTATTTCCGTCTCATACAGCAGGTACGGTGGCATGTCTGAATTTCTCCAGAAGTGTCAGTACGAACACAATAATCATTGACGGATATACGCTGTCCCGCTTATACTTTTTTCAATACAAAGAAATAAATTAAAAGTACATAAATAGTAAGTTGGACATTGCTTACAATGGCAAAACGCTCATCAAATATGTACTCATTTGGACTAGCCCCACCGTGTAGCAGGATCGCCGGCAGGTATAACTCGTCTTTCTGGTGTGCCTTTAGAATGCTAAGCGATAGTGGAGTGTGGCCTCGGTAGGACTAAAACATATAATGAAGTAATTAAAAGGGCAATTGATACAAAAAATCTCTTCATTGTTTACTGTTTAAGTTGTACAGAAGCAGGCTTAAGAGTTCAAAGGAAGCCAGTGCCATGGTTTATCCGTCTCATACAGCAGGTACGGTGGCATGTCTGAGTTTCTCCAAGATGAAATGTCAGAATGTATACAATAATCATTGACGGATATCACGGTGCACTACTTCTGTTGCTACCAATGAGAGAGAGAGAGAGAGAGAGAGGCTGGGTGACAAAGAGAGAGAGAGAGAGAGAGAGAGAGAGAAAACGAGAGAGAGAGAGAAATGTGTAATAAACGAAACGTATATCGTACCGTATCTGTGAAGCGCGCGTTGTAAGGCTTTGCCTGCAAAACCTCGGCAAGTCTTCGTGGGTTCTGTTCAAGTACTGCAAAATACACTTCCTGCACCGAAAAGATGAAATAGACATTCAGACAGCATATTATGCTCGAAATCACTCTGTATATAGTGAGAGTGAACGGTTTTCAACAATTCTATCTTTCTAACTTACTAGCTCCTTTCCTCTTTCTGAAAGTTTCATCTTCTTTTGACATAGTATTTGCAATTGTCATTGCAAAGCTAATTATGAGTTAACATTCATATCACCTGTCTCTCCCTTCCGTCCTCCAGAATGCGTAATATCGAGGTGTGCCCGAGCTGTGTAGCTAACTGCATCAATGTCTTCGAGCCCTGACAAAAGAAAAATTGATATTTAATATAATTCAGACCTACCAGTATGTACATTTCCGACCTGTGTACACTGGGATTATGGATCTCATCTGGATAAAAAGACCATTTATTTGTGTAAAATTAACCGAGTTGATGTGTTTTTTTCTTCAAGCTTTAAATGGTATGAAATCATTACTTATTTAAAACTACGTTTGCCACTATCCGTTACAACATTTTCCCCTAATCATTACAAGATATCAGTATTGATATTTCCCTGATTGAAGATGCTTATAACAATAATAAAGACAATACTATTACCCTTGATATATTGACATTGCACCAATATTCCATGACCATTTTTCTTACACGTGCTTCATCGTTATTCCGAACCGCGGTCCACAGGTCCGGCTAGAGGAACAGTAAAAACAGGTTAGCATACCGTAGCATTCTAACATACACTAGCAAACAGTCTATGTAAACAAAACTTATAATGCAAATCTGGGTAATCAAAACAACGCGACATTTTAATGTATTTTTCATTCAGGTCAATGATTACAGTTTTTTTTTTTGACAAAAGAACAAGATTTACGTCGTTAGATGCCTTAATTTCTGCAACATAAATTGTCATAGGGAACGCAATCATCATTGATAATTGATCTACCTTTCATTGCTGAAAATGAGAGAGAGAGAGAGAGAGAGAGAGAGAGAGAGAGAGAGGGGGTGGTGGTGGTGGTGGTGGGGGGGGGGTTATACAAGAAAAACGTGCAGACAAACCTCGTATTTTTCAAAAATTTGAATCACTTCTTGTCTTTTACTTCTCAAGGCGTAGTCCTTTGCTATGCGTCCCTTCTACAAAATAAGACACACATTTTCTCAGATATTTCAAATGTTTTTTTTTTCATATAGCCAAAATAATGACCACAGTGCATATCTTAAAGTAGAGCTCAATATCAAGTAAAGTAATGTGAATCAATGGATGTATATAAAATGATAATATTAGATACTACCTCATTGTCAATTGACAAATGTATAAACATAGTCTTTCTAAGAACAGAGCTAAAAGAATAACTTAATTAGCATAAGAAGTTAAATCAAATCCTCTCTGGCAAGGCATGACATTTCACTTATTTTCAGGAGACAGGCATTGCTAAAGATAATCACATAATCATGCAGACCATACTTTATAATAAATGAAATAAATGTGACAAGCTCTGATATTCAGACACGACAAATCAATATTTTATTACTCGCCTTATTCTTGATGGTAGCGTCTGCTCCAGACCTCAGCAGAGACTCCACAAGACACTCGTCCGTCCCCGGGTAGGCGGCATAATGGAGGGCAGTATTACCGTCCTGAAAATGAGGCGCGCTTTGTTTAAACAAAATGAAAGCTAGGCATAAGGCATAGTCATATAACATCCAAACACACGTGTAAATTAAAGTTTTGATTTTTTTTCATATTTCCAGAAAAAATAATCAATGCTTTCTATTTGAAGCTTTAAGAGGGAGAAATAGTAGAGGGGGAAGAAATACTTCATAAACTGATTGTGATATTTTCACTTTGATTAATGTTAAATCTAAACACAATCTTATTCATTCACCCTAAGAATACATACTTTAATACTTACGTATTTCGGCGGTCCGTGCAATCTTTTCAATTATAGACTTTCTACAGATTTTAAGTACGACAAATGAATGCCAAATTATGGTTATCAATCATAGAACCCAATCTTTTGTGATACTTGAAAACTGCCCAATAGGTCTTTAATAGTTAGCCAAAGAAATATACATAGCATGCGTAATTTTTCTTCTCAGATACTCCGGTACACGTACCTGCTTCATCCGTAGAGCATTAAGAAAATCCACCAATTCTTGGTCTTCTGTTTGAACAGCCTTCAATGTGGCTCTGCTTTCATTCTGATGCAAAAGAAATGGAGTGAGCACATATCATTTCGCATGACATGTAGATTCTAATCAATAGATCAAAATGAAATCTTCATATATATTGGAAAGATCTTGCGATTTGGAAAAATGTTTCATTTAAGAACGTAGATGCAACGGGGGCGGGCGCTTACTTATTAAGCTCCATAAACCCGCTGCTGGATAGAGAAGAAAGTTGAGATGTCAAACATTTAAAAGAAATCTGATTGGAAGTGGATTAGTATTCTAAAAGGACTTTTCGAAAAAAAACGCAATTCTGCTGAAACATCAATATGCTCACTGCATATAAAGCAAGGCAAAAATATAATCACGTTTTTGAAGTTGATAGATAAATGGGCATATGAATGAAATGATGTTTAAAATCAGTTCACAAACGCACCCAAGTGGCATTTACATCAATTCCTGCATTGACCAAACTGTAGATTTGTTCTTCGTGTTTGTTTCCCCACGACGTTAAAATATAAATCAAGCAGGTTTGTCCAGCCTGGAAATAAAGAAGGCATGATATCAGCAACAGCTGCGACCCTATCGTTGTTCAATTCACCTGTTACTGGTCATAATTTAGCTGTGATATGATGGCTAGTTTTAATAGCTTATGGAGTGAACCTTATATGGTAAGAACGGCATATAATATATCACAACAATTCAGTTCATTTATGACTGTTTTTTACTTTTGGATTTTATCACCGATATTGATAGAACGAATATGAGTATCTTCTATAAGTATCTGTGGTTGTAGTAGATCATTCCGCATATTTATATAAGGTAGTTTAAATTTTCAAAATCCTATCAATAAATATGGCTTACCCGTCGTTCATCCAAGTTGTAATTGTTAATCTTTGTAATCACTGTAGGGTTTTAAAAGGGACTAGATTGTAATTATCCTTTACCTTATTTTTCCGGTTGATGTCCAATCCTTTTGCTGGCGTGGTCAATGCATGCAAGCGTGTCCAATCGGTGGAGTTAGTGACCATTAGATCCATGTGAGTTTTGAACAGTGCTGGATCCTATATCAATATTCAATTGGATATTGAAAATAGGCAATTATGTTTCATACGCTGTAAACTATGTCGGAGGGAGGGGGTAGATATAGACATAAATAGCAATAGCCATGTGCATTATACTGATGACCATCACTTCCATTTACTCAAAACACGAGAATCTTCTTTTTTACAGGAAAAAATCTTCTTTTTTACATCTTCAATTCAAATCTCGAGCAAACACGACGCCTTGATCACTGTGGAATCCGAACAAGGGTCTAAAATGGAAAGATCCACGGTAAAAGAATACTTACCCCTCGACAGCACATGGGCTTCATGGTGGCTTATTTTTACACTGGACCGCGCCCTCAGCTTGGAAATAAAAAGATAGAAAAAGCGTTTCATCCACTGAGGAAAAATAACAAGAGGCACCAAAATACTCATCCATTTCTGATGAATAAGCACAATAGCTAGGTGGTTTCAAATCCGAGATAATCGATTGGATAAATCTGGCAGCAAGGCTTTGAGAACTCTCACTACAGGGTTATGTAGCGCTGCTGCACTGATAGTATGCTGGGAGAAATTATTTATATATATACAGTCTGCAGCAGGTTTCCAGGTGAGGGTCTCAGCGGGGAATTTTCTCTCAGGTGAGCAACTCTTATTATAACCTACAAATAATGCTGTTGAATCACATAAAACATGTTTTTGCTGTTTGTATATTCACTTTTAAAAATTGCATCTTATTGTGTTTCATTGACAATTTGATTTTATCCAGCAAAATTAGATACAGTCAATTCAGCCTGCCAGAAATCTGAATGAATGGATCCCCACTGTGCGAACCCGTTCACGTAAACTATATTTGGTTGTTAGCGATCGATACCCTGACAGAGAGAGCGAGGATCGTCGGCACCTGGTCGAGATACTGGAGATATCATATCGCTTTCAAAACAAAGGCAGGGGCATGCTTCCCAGGAAATATTAACGCCAAACATTTGCAGTATTTTCACTTGTTTCACCCTGAGTTTCAGAGTTTACTAGAAATTTCTAGAAACCAATCTCTATAGTCAGCATCATGCTGCATATCCAAGTAACACCATGAGTTTCAGAGTTTTGTGGAGTTTACTGTTAATTATATCGCTATTATCAGGATGGAAGCAGCAGAGGGTCGCGATGCATGTTGATAGTGCATGGTCATTTTTTTTAGGTTCTAAAACTCGTGGTTATTTTGAGAATGTTTCGTCTTTCGGTACAAACTGTTTCTACGTTCTGTAGGCCACCTGGGAGGGGGGGGTGCATATTGATGGTTGTGCACTTATGTTTGCGTGCGTGCGATGTAAATGGGATATTACCGTATCAGGATGCGTGATCAAGTTAAAGGTTTTGAACTATTCAAATTAATAATTGTAGTGATTGGTAAAAATTTTTAACTTCAACGTACGTTTACGTAGTATCTTTATAACATTTGTAGTATTGCACAAGTTCATTTTTGGGGTCAAATTGTGATGAGCAGTAACGCCGACTAAATTTTATGAGGATATATCTTTCTCTTGTGTCACATTTCCCACCAGTCTTTACCATAGCAACAGTGCGAAGTAAACAATATACATGTACATACCTGCGCAGAGTTGGTGAATTATTACACTTTCAACCCAAACCCGTAGTATTTGGATAGCGCTACCTGCATGCACAGCACAGAGAGAGTTCTGTTACCAAGTGTGCCGATCTTGAAAGGAAATGTCCTCTTGTTTATACTTGTATTCATTTAAATGTACACTTTCTATTGATTGAATGGGAACCTTTTCTGTTTATCTGAGGGGCACGAACTTTTATTAAAGGAACGCGGTGTTGTGATTTAGTGTGACACAAAGAGAACATTAAAAACATTGACTGAATCAAAAGCGAGCTGTTACTGTGCCTTACGCCAGTTTATTGAAAAGAACTGTTTATCAATACGAAGGAAATACTACCTCGTAAACGGTATTGATATTTTATTGAAGTAAACAGGGATAAGCTCCATCCAATGCTTTGAGAGAGAGAGAGAGAGAGAGCGAGAGAGAGAAATCGCAATGACAGAACTGCTTTATAGTAAATTAATTCAATTAAATCCATTGATTTTTTTTAAGATATTAGACAAATTACATATTTAATAAATTAAATACAATATAAATCAAGGCACAAACTGGCAACAAGACATACTTTAGGCTTACATACAAAAGCAGCACCTTGGACTGAACTATAATTGTTTGAGCAAACACTAAAAGGTTACAAAAAATACTTTGGCACCATTTTATGATCACTACCATAATTTCTCCTGGCAGTCAAACATGCCAAATTTTCTTTTACAGAGATTATGCTAATTCATGAATCAGATGGATCACTTAAGTATTATGAGCTGTAGAAAAAATGCACATCCTAAATTATTCTAAATGCCTTATATTGTCTAAAACCTCACATAACACAGTGAATGAACTGAATAACAATGATAAACATTACTATGAATGAACCACAAATACATTTTCATTGAACACAAGGGTAAAATGCCATGTGCCCTTTTGAATGCCATCAAATAGTTGCATATAATTGAACTGACATAGACCTTCTGATAGCTAATCACCTCTGTGGGATTTCATAATCAGATACTGACTGTATATCATTCTGCATTAACATTTAAAAGGCCTGTACACTTATATTACTACACAAATGCTGATAATTTTAGTTATATACACATTCTCTTAAAGGTCATACTGAAATCAATGTGTTAGGAAGCATAACCAGGCCTGTAGCCAGCAGTTTCATGAGGGGTCATCTAAAATAGCAGACCTTTTTACCTTTTTATTTTTTATTTGGAACAGCTTGAAATGACACAGCTCCTAGATCAAATTTTGATTTACAATGGACCTATTATGGCTAAAATGGTAGTTCTTTAGGACCCCCCCCCCATCCCTGCCTAGGAGCCTCATAAAAGTCAAGTACTTCTATCATAATTCACACTAAATAGTCATCTCAAAGTCAAAGGCAATGTTATCATGTCCCCAGTCTCTCCTATTATTGGCACCTGAATGTGCTGGAGAAAACAGTGGTTCTGTGGCATGATTCTGTGCACTATGTGTATGGTCAACTACACCCTCTTCCAAACTTGCGTCTTGATCCAGGGAATCGATATCAGTTTCCAGATATATTGTATGGTGCCCATCCACTCTGGGTATTCTTTCACTATGATCATCACATGCATTATCCAGAATAGTTTGTGAATGAATTTCTTCATTAGAAACATTGCCATATACAAGTGATGAAGAGGGAGCACGAGATGATGATGATGATGATGACCGTAGTTCTGTTTCATTTGAGCACCTGTCTGTAGAAGTCGTGTCTGCCACAGTATTCTTCATTGTTGATGGAGACCACTTCTTGTTGGCAGTGTCTGATACATGTGTATGGAGAGGGTTCTGGGAATCAGGTCCTGTACTGTCTGCACCACAGTCAGCAACTGTGACTCTTTCACTGCTGGTATCACGGCAATGATTTATATCTGTCTCCATCACCCATATGTCAACCGAATCTTCCCTTGCACGGACCCCGGGTCCCTCAGTAGCACAACTTGAATTCATCTGAGCACCAGTGCTGGCAAGTTCAGTTTCCTCTAAAGCATACAGGGTCGAATTTTGCTCTTGAAAATTGCGCATTGAACTCATCCTTGATCGACTGCAGTGAGGACTCGTTCTCTGTTTTTTGCGATTCTTATACCTTGTCCTCCCACAGGGAGAGTCGAAACTTCTGTCCACAGCACTATAGGGTGGAGGGGGCTCGTCATCTGTGGGGAGCATTCCTATTTCAGAGTAAGGTGGCGGGCTCCTTGCTATACTGGTATACCCATTTTCCTGCACAAAGTGTATGTTTTGAGATAGATTAGGCACACAGCAGGTTGTGTTTGCTTGGGATTGACTAGTGGAAGAAACTGTGTCCCTGTCTCTCTGGGCCCTTGTTTGACGTTCCAGTGACTGCTGCCAAAAGTGGCGATTGGTGCGACTCCTCCTACGTCGTAGTTCTGACTGTGTCTGAACCTCACGAAGATGGTGCACACGGGCTCGGCAAAATGCTGTGATGGTGATGACTAAAATCAAGAAGAAAGCCACAGAAATGCCCATTGCTATATACAAGGGCGTTGATATACCTCCCTGCTCAGAACTTGGGGCTGAAATAACTAAAAGAAAGAAAATATATGAAAAATAAACCAATGTGAAATTTAAAATAGTGACATCAAATACTGAAGAAACTTTCCAGAGAAAATATCACCTTAATAATTAGCATCAAGTTCAATCTTTAAAGAGAAAAAGACAATGTGGGCTTGTGTCTTACTATCACATTGCCATGAAAGAGAAGTGAAATAAACTATAATACCAAGTCCTGTCACACTTGTAGTAGCCAGGCATTCAGACATAAACATGGGGTTCAAATAGTGCAGAAAGATAAAAAAAATTCACAGCATTTTTCAGAATTGAACTTACTACATCCATCCTCATCTTTCTGGTTCAGGCACTGGTGGTGTCCATCACAGCGGTCCATCAATGGAACACACTGACCATCACCACAGGAATAGTGGTCACTCTCACAAGATACTGAACTGTTGCCTATGGAGTTAAAGAAAGACATCATCCATAATGAATTAAAAGATCTGAAGTAATCGATTTCCCAAATATTAGGGCTGGTTGCACTCTTTAATTAACTTATCAATTTTGCCTGGCCTAACTAAACCAATTTTCAAAATTTAGCTTTCCCAAACTTCATGTTGCCAGTTTATATGTCGCAGACTGAAACAAAAGTCAAACTGAATTGTCCTGCATTTTCCTATGCCTCACCTTGCACAATAACCTCCACCCTCCCCTCCTCCACAGAGAGGTTCTGATGCAGCACTTGGCATGTCAAGACAGCACTGTCCCTGACATCCACAGCCGTCAGCCTTGTGGTATACTGGTTTATGGGGGTCTCCTGGTACTTGCTACCATACACCCCTCGCCAGTCCACTGTCCTGGGGGGCACAGCTGAACTCACACTGCAGTTCACATCTAATCTGGCTCCATACTGTACGAAGATGGGACTTCGTGGGGTAAAAATAATGACAGCAGTTGTAACATCTGAAATGGAAATTTGAAAGAAAAATTATATAATGGCCGGCTGAAGTTTAAATTAAAATTTTACACATATATGTTTATGATGTACATGTTGTTAGATTTCTATATTTCTGGTAAGGAGGTCAAAATAAAAATATCGAAGAGATTGTGAGAAAAAAAAAATTTGCAACAGAGTACGTGCACTTGTCAAATTACTGTACAAGTGACCCCCCCCCCCTTCAACACTTGAAAATTCAACAGTCAACAAGATTTAGCACTACCGTGGGCACTGCTGGATGATCAGGTTAGTTAGCTCAGTCATTAATATTCTTTTATATCAACGTTCAATCAGGCATCAACATGCGCCAATGCAATCAACTTACCGAAAAATATCAATAAGTAATTTATGACACGGAGCAGGATCACACGACCAACCATTTCTATCCCACAATGCCCTGCTTTGTTTGGGTTCAAATTTCACCGCCAGGTGGCAGTCTACAGTCTGAGAGCACATGGCTCAAGAGGAGTCGACCACAACAAAGCGGGTTATCTTCATTCTTTAACGCAAGTTTTAATTTACTAAAGGTGAGTTCGAAAAGCGTGGTCAAAATTTGTAAACACACCTTTATTACTTGTAAAATGCACTAAAACCACCATCCGGTATATTTTCGACATTTTTCAGAATACAATGCGCGCCCACTCACGTACATGTGTACCACCCCGCTTAGACCTGTACTATATGCATAGATGGCAAACTGTGTCGTGTATTTTGATCTGGTCACTCATCCCCGTCCTTCAAATGCCATTTTGAACGTGCCGACTTAGATATGTCCAGGGTTATCAGAAGCTTATCATTATTTGTTGCTAACAATAACTTTTAGACGTGCTTGAATCAATTTTAATTGTTTGTAAGAGGTTTCTGTCATTTTCTTTGTTTCAAATTTAAAAAGAATTTAAATTTAAATTTCTTAAAAAGAAATACATAGATTCCATTTTGACATGCGTTTAATTGACAAATCTTTGCATCTACAAGCCAGTATAGCATAGGTTAGAGTATACCTGAAAATGTTTTCTTTCAATATGACACATTAAAAAAGTTTTTCACGACTTCCTACAACCAAATTGGGAAACAAATACATATTTTGTGCTGTAAACTTTTGATGCACTAATTCCTGTCATAAAAAATGTGCCCTTTCTGTAAAAGGAACCACATAAAAAATGCATGCAAACTTGATAAGATTCGTGTCTTTATGTACATAAAAAAGTTAAATGTCACTGAAGCTTGATTCAGTATTATCACACTCTGCGGTCAAAAATAGTATGGTTCTTCCTAATTGAACTATGAATGCTTTGAATTCCACCATTTTTTCATGTATATTATTTAAAGTTGGCCTGCAAAAAAGGGGGCAATCCATTCTGCACCTCCTCCTCTCTCTGTCTGCAATTATTCAGTCTTTTCTAAATGGTCCATGTATGCACCAGTCACAAGGTCTTTCTTGTCTATACCCAACTTCTGCATAAGATCTTCGGCTATTGCCTGCCCTTCCTCAAGGCTTTGTCCATCCTTCATTACCTAAAAACAGAACATGTCATCATTATTGTATTTCTCTGTTTTTGTTTACTAATAGCAACAAATTTATCTTCAGACAAAAGGAGATGAACAGTGTTTGCATAAAAACTTTTATCTTTGAGAATAGCAAATGAATATGAACTGCAGCGTTTCTAGCAATAAAATATTTGTCACAGTCTGATACCTCTAGCTCCATAAAATCTCCTAGGCCATTTACTTGGTCTACATGAACCCTTGTCTGTCCCACCATAAAGAGGTATCGGGTTTTCTTTACAACTCCCCTTATACCAATGGCTTGCCTAAGCGTTTCCTAAATTCACAAAAAGAAGAATGTATGGCCATTTCAGTCTTGAAATCAGAATAAATCCTTTGCAGTATACAAAGTAATACTTTGAGCAAATTAACAATTAGTGACATTATGAGAACTTATCAAAAATAGATAAAAAATAAAATAATAATAGGTAAAATAATGAATAAAAATAATTGTTATTTTTATTACCTTAAAACCAGATGGATCTGGAATTGGTGTTTTCACAAAGTGACTGGATTTTGGACCCTCTGTATCTTCTCTTTCATAGTAAACCAACTCTGCACCTGTTGACTGTTAATAAGAGACACCTTATCTTTAAAAATAATTTATATACAAGAACTTTGTGTGAAATGAACATATATATATACACAGTAGTTCAGACAGCTTGGAATCCAAAGCTATATTTTTCCTGATAATACAGCAAAATTCAGTGAAATGTAAATTATATAGAGCCTCCATAGGAACCTGATGGATGTACCCAAATAAAAAATATTATATTTACCACTAAAAGAAATCAAGCAGAGCAAGCTAAAAAATGGATGGAAATAAATTGACCTTTTATAAATTTGATCAGATATTCACAGACTTACCTGTCGACTTTTTTGCTCCCGTAATTTCAGCCTGCCATTTGATGTGACAAAGAAGGTGTCCTCCTGAACGAGTACATCTGAAGAATCGCTCAAGCTGGCTGCCTTTGATTTTAGCTCTTCTAAATTCGCTACCTTCGCCTTGATCTCTACATTTGTTGGCATGATAACCGATTTATTTGAAAATTTAGCTAAATGATAATGCAAACAAAACAAAATTCGATTGCCACGCATTAAGTGTTTTTAATGCCCAGCAAACACGTTGTGTTTCTTACTGAATGTAATAACGTATCAGTGAAATATTTCAATGTTGTTTACACTTATATTTCCCTCTTCTTTCGACCCACATGGCAGTGCTTTTTGATCTCCATACAGTAAAGAATGGCACCACACTGTATTATTGCGCATAAAGTAGTTCCTTGTAATTTTACAGAATTACACACTTGTAAATTATACATCTTTCGTTTTTATGTTATTTTAGTTTTAATGATGCACATTTATAGTTAATTAATCAGATAAAACATAATAGAATGAATGTGTTTTGTATTTATGTTCGGTAGATTTAAAGATTTCTTGTTCGCCATTTTGAATATTCAAAAAATCGTTTCCTGAATTTCCAACATATGAAATTTTATGTCTAAGCTTATTGTTTTAAATAATGAGAATTCTTTAAAGCTGGATCAGGTCTTGGACATAATATATTTGAGTTTTTTACAAGATCAGGTAGGTATTTGCTGGGTTTACCGTGCTGTGATGCTTCTCATGTCGGTTCGTTGACGTAGCTAAAAAATCGATTAACTTTTTTTTTCGCCGTAACCTTAGCATTAAGGACACTGGCATGATAATTATTGATAACGAAAATTCATGATATCAAATCAGTTTTCATGCTGACAGGCGTCACGCTTTGAGACTGATGCTGACCCTCGACGGGATTTTGATTCTTCCCTTATTCATTCTGTTCATCCCGACAGCTGTGGGTTACGCAATCTGCGATGTACCAACCGATCGCATTTATTCGTGCTGGGATTTGGTGACAACCCACGAAAACCCACGAAACGGGAATCAAATGTTAAAATCACTGGCATAAATATCTTATAAAATACAATATAAACAGCATTTCAAAAACAGTTCAGTAGAGAGGCTTCCAGAAAATCGAAAAGAAACTTAGCAGTTTGTCATTGATGCAGAACATCAAATCTTAGCTGAATTGAAGTACATGCAGTAAAATATTATACACTTTTATTTTCAGCCAGGATGGGGATTGAAGGGGGTAGATCTATCCCTTCTACTGGAATGACCCCTAAAGAACTGTGTGAAAATGATGATCTTGCAACCAGTATAATAGTCGACCCGTACCTAGGATTTGTGTCGCACAAAATGAACACACGGTAATATCATTGCTGACACTGGAAGAATAATAATTGAAAGAATACATTTAAATCATATGTATAATTTTTTGGGTTTAAGTTCACACGATAGTTTGTTTTGGAGACTGATTTGCCATGTGGTTTTATGAGCAAAACCTCCACTTATTACCACCATCGTAGCACACAGAGATTGAAAGTGATCTACATGCACACTGTAGCTGTGAAAAAAAGTCAATTCTGCCATTAAAATGTTGCTGGTAGTAAAATGGATTCGTTCCTGATATACAATTACTATACAACTTAATGGTGAACGTATGATATTTTAAGTCATATTTTGATAATAACTTGTAGCCATGAGTGAAATGTGATAGAAATCATATTTCTACAATAATATGAAGACTATTATATAAATATATACTTTTCATAGTGTTAATTTCTTTGGGAATATTTTAATTTGATTATTTTTATTTTAGGTTCCGCCCAATCAAAGGTATGCAAGAAGAATGGAAAGGGTGTGTAGAGAGGTTTAAGAAGCACCAGTGTTATGAGAAAGCATACAAGGAATTGATGTCAGGAGACTGGGGAAGAACATGTTTACTCACCAAATCCAAAGCACAACAGAAAACAATGAAGGAACATGTAAGATTCAAGGGACAAATGCTGGACTAACATGAGTTGGAGAATTAAGAATTAAAAAATTTAGAAATGTTTGACTTTTATTTAATGAAGATGAATTGTGATAACTTGTTGATTGTCTTCAGTATTATCCATGACAAACAACTGTTTTGGAAAAATATGTTATGTAATTGTCTTGTCATTTCAGATGTTCAGGTTCCTTCAAATGTTTGATGCACAAGCTGGGTTTGAAATCATGGCGTGTCATCGTTACTCTGCAGAGGGGGAAATGGGTGGAAAGCTAGTGGCAACTAGAAAGTGGTATGAACTACACATTAATATGTAAATTTGTTAAACTCTTAATTCATTTACATATTGAATTGTTTTTGTTCACCTCATTAAGTCTACCTAGGCAGACATCATTTTAAGTCTCCGGGGAGAATCCCTGTAACTTACAGTTATTTTTGATGATTTTGAAACAGGAAGAAGCAAGAAAAGATAAAAATGCTAGTGGGGTGTATAGCTGAGCTGACAGAAGAAGAAGAGGCACAGATCTTAAGACCAGGGGAAAATGATTTCAGTGTGATGTACTCCTGTCGTAAGAATTGTGCTCAGCTTTGGCTAGGTCCTGCTGCCTACCTCAACCATGACTGTAAAGCCAACTGCAAGGTACCACCTATTCTAACTTGATTGCAGTGCTTAAACTAAATAATTTTCATGTGCTCTGCATTGTTTCTATAGATCTGTTTATGATTCATTGGTCACATATGAAAGAAGGAGGAATCTGAAAAAAGATATCAGAGTATTTTACCTAATCAGTCTGCCTGTGTATCATATCTGTTGGAGCTAGAGTATTCCTAGAAGAAAAAATGGTAACACAATACTGACATGAGATAAAAGATGATAAGGCTACTGAGGATGTTGCTGTCTTTGAGCAAAGTTATTAGCAAACCTGTTTAACCCAGAATTTATTATAATTTTTTTCAAAGTTTGTGTCGACTGGTAGAGATACCGCTTGTGTTCAGACCCTGAGGAATATTGATCCAGGAGAAGAGATAACTTGTTTCTATGGAGAAGATTTCTTTGGAGACAACAACTGCCTGTGTGAATGTGAAACTTGTGAAAGGTAAAACTGATTGACTGTTTGTCTCTGTCAATTAATTGCGGGAGTTGGAGAAATGGGACATTTTCCATTTATATGATAATTATATCTCTGTCTTTATGTCATAACTTTGAAAATGGTTTATCATTAGAAGAGGTAGAACTGAAATCGCCCTTTGTAATTAAATAACTCTAAATGGTGCTCTTGAATGGGTTTATGAAAAAGTCACCTCTGCTTAATTTTGAAGACTACATGTTTGTTGTCAGATGGTCAGAGCTCATTGATCCCATTCATCATCACTCTATTTACATGTATACATTATTTTCATCTTGTTTGATATCATGTATGATGTATTATTTTGAGAACAAGTTTATTCTCTTTTTATAAGACTTCAGCAAGGTGCCTTCAAGCCAAAGCATACTCCTCAGAAAAAATTAGCCAATGGCTACAGACTCAGGGAAACTACTGACAGAATCAAGAGCAATCAGAATCAGACCAATAGTCAAAAACCTTCTGCAAAGTCTGTGATACCTGTACCAGGGATAGGTAAGGGTCATTATGAAATGTGGTAAATAAAGCTTCTTCAGTTTGTGTAAAGTTATGGTGTAAGAATTAGTGTAAGAAAATTCTGCTGCAAATGCAAAGACATACTGGAGCAGTTTAATGGTATGTAAGAAAACCTGAATAAAACGTAATTAATGCCATGCACATGAAAAAAGGAAGGAAATTAAGATGTTTTCATTGGATTCGGCTGATAAAAATTACTGATGCATTCTATATTCACAGTATTAACAATATTGTTTCTTTTCATTTTGTGTTTAGACAACTGGGATAAGCGGTCCAATAACCTGACCAAGCACGCACACCTTCTGACTAAGGCTGAGTTGAAAAAGCGAGGGATTACACGCTATGACGCGGAGATGCTGCTTTCACAAGGTCACAAACTACCTGACCCTAAAGCTTTCACGGAGAGAGAATCAGGAAAGAGGGGGACAGAGAGTAAGATAGCAGACTTAGCCCAGAGAAGGGGAACAAGGGGAGACACATCACAAACAAGAAAGAACTTGTCTCCATCTCACTTTAGCTGGTCTCCTTCCAGGTTCAATGGTTCTCCGACAAGATTTGGAACTTCTCCCACGAGACGCACACGGTTTAATTCCTGTGATGCTGATTCAACAACGGAAAATTATGTAGAGAACAATATTGTTCGTAATGCATCACCATCTAGAATAACAAGGCGGATGCTTAGTGCCCCTGAGACATCCTTGAGATTGTATGACGATTCTGAATTCAAAGATGGAAGCGAGACTAGTGGTAGCATGGGAAGTGAACTGTCCGAGTCCAGTTCAGATATACAAGACATCGGATCAAAACTTCGTAGCTCTCATGGGAAATATGGATTTCACAGTATGAACGGTGATGCAACAGATAGTCAGTGTGGAGGAATGCTACAGCTTAAAATTCCCAAATTGAAAATCAAAATAAGGAGAGACCAGGATGATGAAGGCTATGAAATTTTGGGCACAACAGCATACAGACGTAAATCCAAGAAGAAAAAATCCAAAAGCAAGAAGCACAGGGACAAGAAGCGGTTTAGTGAAAGCTTTTATGCAGGGAGTGATGAAGAGGTTCTGGAGAGAAAAACTAATTTGAAGAGACTGAAGCTGAAGTTTGGAGGAGACTCTATTGACATTGACACATGTATTCCCCCTAGCAAAAGGCAGCGTATATATTAATGATAACCATGTGTTAATTTCTAAATTTTGATAGCGTAGATATTTTGCTGGATTCAAATGGTAACATAGGTTGCTGAAAAAAGAAGTTCTAGGCTCTCTGGTTATACTTTTTAGTAATTTGGTGCAATATCCTGGATTATTCTTGGCAAAAGGAGATCATTCGTTTGTTCTCTAAAATCATTAAGTGCAATTTACTTTCATTGTATGTTTTTTTGATGTGTTCCACCAATTTGACTTTCATCTTGCTGAAAACATGCACATTTCAAGCACTCCTATGTATTCAGAATCATCATTCAGTTCATTTTTAGGCATCATGGTTTCATACTTTGCTATATGGATATCTGTTTGCTTTCAAGAGCATTTGGAACTTGGTCTTAAAAGATGTAGTACTATTAATGAATTAGTGTGGATCTCCTTTGTATTTGCAATTCTGTCAAATGTTAAGATGTTGCTTAAAAAAAAAAAAAAACAATGGGTAAGCTTGTTTGGAAGCAAAGTCTTAAGAGAAGTTTCCTTTCACTAAAGTAAATAAGATGACTTGTAGACAATGCACGTTGATAAAAATGGTTATGTCAATATTGTTCTCCAGATGTTTGATACCAGCAAATACTGAGTTTCAGAAATTACATTTCACCATGTACTTATTCAAAACCAATGTATCACATATATAACACTGGTAGAATTGCAACTTACGGAATCACTGAAGTTCTCACAAATCTTTTCACTTTTTACGGTACTTGTGTCAGAAAATTAACCATTCTTGCCAGCAGAGGGAGATTGTTGAATGCATTTTTTCTATGACTACATATTTATTTGGTTTGGATTATTACCTGAACTGTCACATGTAAATTGTGAACTTGCACTCAGTTTTTCCAATTCGATTTCACAAATTTTAATCTTGAACAGATGCTGTAGACTTATTTACTCAGCATATTTCAAATGATAGTGCAAGTTATGATTAAATTAATTTTCTGGTAATTTTGGACACATTGCCAAAGTGTTCCCTAAAATTACTTTTAAAGTGGGGGTCTAGCGAGTGCAGTCACTCATATCAGTTGTCATTTGGGGAAGTATGAGCAACATATGCATGCAGTATTACATGTACGTACACATTGTATGCTGTAAGATGTAGAATTTAGTAGTTATGAAAATGCTTTGGAAGGCATTTTATTTATGGTTTTTGTAGGCTTGTTGGAGAGACCATATGGATGTTTGCTAAAATATTGTAGCATTAATATGTTGGACTGGAGTGGAATTCTGAATTGTAAAGACCTGTTGCTTATTTGAGAATTGGCTTGTGATAACCATTTTTATTAGAGATTTTAATATCAAACAATGTCATAACCTCATTCATTATAAAAGATTCATGAATAACTACAGGTTATGGATTATTTAAACTCACTGTTATGTAAATTATTTCATTGCAACTGTTTGACTTGAACGTAAAACATTTGGGGAGTGCTGAGATTGTGAATTGTGCTTGTGAACAAAATTTGAAATAGTAGTTTTTGTAACTGAGTTGATATTATTTGCTGTTTTATTATACTATTGAAACATTTAGAGCCGTGAAGATGTCTATGAATGCATTTCATAAATCTTTGAGAGTTGAACATTAAAACTATTGAAATGTTAATTATCTTTGGTTAATAAATGCTAAAACATATGGATCCAGGATTTTACTATTGGTGGAGGGCTGGGGGCACAGAGTTAAGAATGTTTTTTTTTTAATATATGTAAATGAAAAGCTTGACATTAATGTATGTACAAACTATATTTAAAAAAAGGAAAATAAGGATTGGTAATATGGATACATCTTAAAAATGTGCATTTTAAATCTGTGCTACAACTTAACAGTTTTGCATGTCCATTACCTCTCGATCCAATATAGTTCAGTCTCTTCTGTTCAAAGATGCTTATATTCAACACAGTCTACTGTATGAAGTTTGCTACATGGTATTTATTTTCTTTTACATCTTGTAGATAGTCGATCTTACCTGCTGTCAGGTTCATCATGATCTCAGTTTACTAAGTTTTGGGAAGTAATTAGCAGTGTATTGTATTGTTAGTCAATTATTTGTTGATGAATAAAATCTCAGTTTAAATTCCTTTGATGTATCTGGCTGTACTCCTTTGCTTCTTTTATGAGACAATTTTATTCTCTTAAAAGACAATTTTATTATCTCATTTTTCATGGATAGTACTTGGAATTAAGACAATGAGACCATTTAGAACAATCTGAATCTGCTGACTAACAGATCTGCCGACTAAATATGGCTGACTCACTTAAAAGCAGCGCTGATTAAGTCCATGACCGCCCTGCCTCCACATGCTGTCGCTGCAGGGGGCCATGCAATTAAACCTTGGAGCTGAGATTTAAGCCGTTAAATACTGTTGGTAGAAGTGAATAGGAGTGTAAAGCCCCATTCAGAAAAGAGACTAAGTGGTCCGAGGGTCAAATATGGTGACCCGCTACAAAGCCCGTGGGGAAGTATTCAAGTTGGTCAGCCATATTTGACCCTCGGACTAGTTAGTCCCTTTTTCTGAATGGCCCCTGACAAAAGAAAAATTGTGTTAACTGTCTCTTTATTCAAGGTGAACAGTGATAATAATTTCATCAATGTAAAAAGAAAGCGTCATTTGTTTTAAATCTCGGACTAGGCTAGACCAAGGCATTAGATTTCTATCCAATCATTCCTTGGGGAGAGCTACCTCAAAAGCAATGGATGATAATAATTAAGCAAAAAAAAAAAAAAAAAAAAAAAAAGAATGAAAGAAAGAAAGAAGAAAAAAATTCTTCTAAATTAAAACCTGCATAGAGTTGCCGAAAAATAATAAAATTTAACAAGATTACTTTGTAAAGTAAACAATATTTTAGAAGGTGGGAGTGGTTAGTTATTTCAACGCTGCCAAACGGGGATTTTGGACTACCGATCTTCAATCATGGGAGGTTGTCAAGTACAACTACCGCAATGGAGATGTGACGTCAGGTTTTTAACCACCCCAGTCGAGAAAACAAGATATACATATTTTTGGTTTTAGTGTTTAAAGATAAATCTGTAAGCCTGCAAGGTCACAGTTAACTATGAAACGTTGAAATATTTTGAATTATATTTTTGGTGGCCTAAAAATTATTTTCGTAACTTCATAGCTAAAGAAGCAATAAGTATCGTGTTGCATGGATTGTGGTAAAATGAGTCGTGCTCAACACACGTGAATTTGCCTTTATTCGAGTTGTTGCTGTTGAAAGGATGCCTTCTGCCGCTGCGAAGAGCGACGTTAAGCCCGTTTTTGAGGGCGACAGCCCCATCAAAGCTGCACTTATCGTTGTGGATAAGAAAGTTAGAAACCTGGAAAAGAGGAAGGTAAAGCCAATTCGATCGATTATGCCTTTAGTCACATAATTGACGATTTTTAAATGAGGTGTAGTAGACGATGGTTTTGGAATGAATGAAGTGAAAGACGTAAGACCAAAAAGAAGTTGAAAAACGTTGAGTAACAATCGGGAAAAAATTAATGTTTTGGTGTAAAAATCTTACAAGTGCTGATGACGTTGCCTTTAGATCGGACATATGCCCTTTTGGCTTTAGTTATTCGAAGGTTTGTAATTGTAAGGGGTTGGGAACCAGGATATGAAAAATGCAAAATGGCGGATGCGGACATGTGCTCGTTCGATCTGTCATCTCTCAGTGGACAGACACTCGAAGTTGATTCGAAAAAGTTGAATATGTATTAAAGCCAATTTTGTTGTCACTGTTGACGGAAAGGCATCATCTTCCGATCAGACTGAAATGTCACCGTGTCACTTGATCAGACACTGCTGAGTCAGCCTTTGTTTACGATTCATTTACATGACGTAGTTCTAGTTAATAAGGTGAAATGAAATTGTTACTGCTAAATATATCTCCAACTGCGGCTCTTGCTGTTCACTGTAATTGCCATAGCTTGTAATTGAAGTAATGGGTATGGTGTGGTTTATGTTGATTTTAAGTTTATAAAGATTTTTTGCAAGGCTATATTTGAAGTTAGTGCGGGCTACAAGGGGTGTTTTAAGGTCATTTTGTGTTACATCAAAAGTGTGTTGACAAGATCTTAATGGTCAGTGTTGTTTGTAACTGTATAAGAGAAGTAGTTATTTGTAATTGATTATTACATTGTGAAAAGAATATTATTTTTTGGAAACTATATTTTATGTTGATTATTAAATTACAGGGCAAGCTAGATGGTTACCGTGAGAAATACAACAATGGAGAAACGCTCAATGAAGACCAAAAGGTTGGTATTGGTTTCTTTTTGCTTTTTTTTTTTGTGCCTGTCCCTGTGATAATTAGATGCATATCTGATATTGGTTAGTTCTTTTGGTTGTATTGTAGGTTTATTTTATGTTATGACTACTATAAGGTCTGAAGTGATTCTATTGACAAACCATTTTTAAACAGTGAAAATAAATTCAAATATTTACCTATAATTTGGTCATTAAATGACCATATAACATTCCTCTTCCCTGCAAAATCCTGTCACCAGGACTGAAAATACAACTTGATAAGAATAATAAGAATTAGATTAATAATTGCCTTTCTATCTAAAAATGCATGAAACAATTCAACTAAACTTACTTGGTTCGTTTAAAGTTTTTAATTCTTGAGTGTTTTTGATTTTGACATTAAGACTTCCTCTCCCTATATACAGAATGTGCACTAACACAAGCATGGTGTCTTCTACAATTGACTAATGGAAACTGTTATATTAATGAATTACCTGAAGTGAAGCTATCTTCTAATGGCTTCCCACGCAGACAGACTACCAAACTGCTGCATTATTGAAAGTCCGTGAATTTGCTAGTATTCATTTTAATTGTAATTGAAACTTCTAATCACACGTTTTAAGTACATCTCACAGAATTTTTCCTTTGTTAATACAATTTAGGTACATAGGGTATGGAAATATCTGGGTGTTAATTTCATCACATTGAAGATGGCACAACTTATTATTTTATAAAAAATCATACAGGCTAATAATCAGAACACATTTTACAATATTTATGTACAGCAATCAAGTGAATTTTATTAGATCCTGGCTATCTTAAAGTTAGGCCACATCATATCCATGTACATGTGGGATTGAAAGTTGTCACATCATGTTGTAGGCTTGATCAATTTGACTTAGACCCCATTCCCACAGATTTTAGATCGATCTATCCCTGTGGGGAGTCCATTAGATTACTGTCAGCTTAGTTGGCTTAAGCATCTGTCCCGCCTACTAAAAGCTGTAAGGGAGTAATTAACTGTCGTGCCCGCTCGGCTGACTGCAATTTAGCGTGAACCTCCTGGGAGTTAGGTCGATCTGGATGGATCGATCTAAATCTATGGGAATGAACTCTTAATTTGTTCCGATCAACATGTCAAGAATTAGAGATTGTTGTCGTTGTTGAAGCTAACTGGCTTTCTAACTATCTAATCAGGTGTTCTTCTTGAGAATATTGCATCAGCTAAGTCTTTTGATTTTTCTTAGTACACCTGTTCAGTATTCTATCTCCATATTAATATGCTGCGGAAAATGAATTACTACTGGTGAAATGAACCACTCATCAATCTCATTGTTAAATCTATGAATGTGATGTGCGAAATAAAAGCCATGCCTTTATTATAGTCATACAACAGGTGAGATCTGGCGTTGTATCATCATATACACAATCCATATAATTGGATGTTATTCAGGGCTCTACATAATCTTTTTTAGCCATTCACCACTTGAAAGCTAAGTTAAGACACCATGTTTTAAGTAGTTCACATGTCGTGATGTCATCAGTTTTTTCTTCCACAGAAAAACAAAATTAAATATTATTTTGAAACTCTACGAAAATTTAGTGAGAAAGCCCTTCTCTTGTGCACGCAGTCTTGCAAGAGCAAAAGCTATTGGCCAGCTAACAACTGAATGAAACACTGTCGACTAATGAAAATGGGCAAAGGATATTAAGCAAGGGAAGGTGTTGAAAGATGGCCATGGCCAAATGCAAATCGATAGTGAGGTTTTTGATGACATATTGATAAGGATGTAAGATAAAATCTCTGTTCTCTTCTTTTAATTTTTTCTTTTGCCTGGTCGGACAAGCATTTGGGCAAGTGGGCTTGCCCAAAATCAGTGTGTTCTCGCTCTGGGCAATCCTTTTTGTCAAGGCCTGTTCCTACTGTTAATGTAGCCAAATGTATTAAACATCAAAATTGAATTTCTGTCCTAGGTGCGGAATGTATGAAAGCCTGCTAACTGAAGTACCTCAGATGACACAGCCCTTCTAGATCACACTATCGATGTGATAATCAATGCTTTTTTTTGTAATGAAACTTTCTGTGGAAGTAAATGTTTGATATCTAGTTTTTTTATTACTTTTGTTTTATTACCTTAGCATTGCTTATTGCAGTGTTGTGCATAGATTGTCTCTCAGAATTGATGCAGATGTAGATAATCAATTCCTGACTTTTATATAATATTTTGACAGCTAATGGTGGTGGAATATTGAAGGACAGGCCATTTATTCTTATTACATATTAGTTTTATTGCATTTAGTTAAATAAGAAACATCACACCTTATGTTTTTCAATTTTCATTTTCATTTATGTTTTTCATTTCATATGAAATGTTTGCATACTGGGGCAACAGAGTGAATTACAAGTCCATGTATTTATTTGCTATTTCAGGAAGCCATAGACAAGTATGATTCTGTGATCATCAATTTGGAGTTTGCAAGGGACCTGCAGAAACAGTTTATGCAAATTCAGGCGGAGGTAGGATCCGTGTCTTTAAATAAATGAAATTCCCAGTTCTTCAGAATATAAAGATAAATGTTGCTTTATAATAATTGTTTAGATTATTGAGTTGTTTTTTTGTACCCAAACATCCAATTATGGAAATTTTAATTGTATTGTTAATTGTATTGTTTAAAGTATTATCTTATTGCACCTTGTATCAGTCTGAAAAGATGCTGAAGAAGCAACAGAAGCGTGAAAAGGGTGAGAAGCAAGCACAAGAGGCACGGCGAATGCGTGAACTTTTACATCTTCAGAACGTCTTGGACAACATGGGGTCTGAAACTGTGAGGCAGGACTTTAAGGAAGGGAAAAGAGGTGCAGTGGTTAGTATCTTTGAAACTAAGGACTTTAGTGAAAAAGTGACTTGACCACGATGTGGAACCTTGAAGAGAGCTGGTATTATTTGAAATATTGGACAGTCTGCATTTTATCTTTCAAAAATCTCCATCTCGGTTAGTTTCATAATATTCTAGTAGAACCTTCCCTCACAAATATAATACCAAAAAAATTATAAATTCAAATTTACATTGAATTTAAATGTGTTCATATAGTTTTATTCAATTGTTCCAGGTTTTGACTGATGAGAATCTTAACCATCTGGACGAGCTGTTCAAGTTAATCAGTCCGACCAGAGAGGGAGAGACCAGGTGAGAAATTTGCATGGGTCATCCTGAAAGTTATGCGTTTGGTTGTATCCATTTTCATTAAGAAGAATTAAGAATTGATAATTTTTCACCAGCAATACAGTGCACGTAAATGTCATTCTTTCAAACAGTCAGATTTCAAATTTGAATTGAAAAATGGCAGATATAAATATCACCTAACATAAGGCCAAGTTTGACAAGTGGTCAGTTTAATTTTAAAGTCGAACAAACCAGCACAAAGCAATCCTGTGCTTCTTCAATCTTTCAAGTTATGAGAAACAGCTGAATGAAGCCTCTGAACACATCGTGAACCTGCTGGATGCCAAGGACAAGCCTGTCTTGGGGACCACCTACAAGGCTCTGAAAGAACTCCTGAGCAAGATTGATGGCTGTGGCTATTTTACCAACCCCCCTGCTGAAGAAACAGCAGACCAGCAAGATAATGGTAAGGATTTGTCTCTAATTAAGTACACTGAAAAGGCATACATAAAATAGCAATAAAACCAATTTTTATTTTGAAAGGGGAAAAATATTAAAATTTAAAGAAATGCAGAGTAGAACAGCTTTGCTCTCTGTGCTATTGTTAAAACTGACCTAATATAGCAGAATTTTGATCAGGTTTAATGATAAATTCCAGCTTCTGAGGACAGCAGCGGAAACAGTGAGGAGTATGTGATGGTGAAGACGGATGAAGTCCCTGATCAGAGTTCCTCTGAGGTGCGTATGACTTCCCTGCCTCAGGACAGTGCAACCCATCCTCCCCAAACCCAGCAACCCCCACAGACCCAGCAGCAAGGCAACGGAACAAACATGGTGGGCATCTCATTCTATACTGAAACCCCCTCCCAAGAAGCCATGACTGCAGCCGTTGCTGCAGCAGCGTATCAAAATCAGCAAAGGCCATTCCAGGAGATTGTGTCGTCGGTTCAGGGCACGTACGACTTTCTCCAGGAATCCCAGATTGAGCCAGACTCCCCCCATGTGGACCCAGCAGTTGTAGCTGCCCAGCCCATGGTGCCAAAGATTCCTCATCCACAATCACAGACAGGTAAGTTGCTGTTGAAGGTCAGATAGCCATAAAACATAAAATGCCACTCAGGCATGGAACTTCAAATGTGAAACACATTTTTTGTGCGTGGGTCTATCATTGTGACAAAGGTGTATTGATGTTTATGGGGCTGAACCTTAAGTTTAAAATATGTTAGATGAATAATGATCTCTTTGAGCTCTTATGACCAGAGTTGTTTTTTTTTTTTTTTTTTTTTTTTTTTTTTTTTTTGAAAAAATTATATTTTCTCTCCATATTATAGATGGCAGTGGTCTCTCCTCGCAGTCTTGGGGTGACCAGGCCGATCATCATAGCGAACAGCTGCAGGAACAGCAGCAGCAGCAGTATTTCCAGTCAGAATCAACACAGCCACAAAAACAAACATTACAAAGTCAGCAGCAATCCAGCTATGACACGTCTGCCTATGGCAGTCAAGGCTATGACATGATGTCACAAAATGCGCCGTCCTCCTACGGCGGCACTGGCCTGGAACATACACACATGAACTTGAATGACGGAGATAGAACGCTGCCTGATGTGCCCCCTAGTATTCCTTTACCAAACCAGACGACCCTCGCAGATCAACAGGCTGACGTAAGTAATATGTGAGATTAAGGAATATGTCTGGCACTGTTTAAAAATTTTTTTAAACAAATATGAATATTTGGAAAATTGGTCAGTATATTAATACCATTGCTATTTAAAAAATAAGTGTTGATGCAAAACATGGGAATATTCCCAACTTGTGCGATTGGGCATTGGATCATAATTTTTTTCTTTAGACAAAAGTACCAAACTCTACTGCTCATTTTCCATCCATGTTGCTTTCAGGAGAAGAAGACATTCACAATGAACGCCAGTGCCCCTGTATTCCAGTCTATGTATACTCAGGCTCCAGCAGCTCACACAGAATCCAGCAGCATTGCTACCACAGTGGATAGCATGGGACAGCAAGACATGACGTCAGACTATAACTGTAAGGACATGGATAGGTGGTTTTAATGAGTAGTGTGAACTGAAACAGACATGGGCTTTTTCTACGTAATAGCAGAATTCAAAGATTTGGAGTTGAATTCTGATAGAGCCGAAACTGACCCCTGGCTGAATAAGTAAAGGACTGAAAATTTTTTTTGAAAACCCAGAATGAGTTAGTTGGGTCTAACTAAGTTGACCTAACTCCACCGGGACTCTCACTTAAAGATTGGCTTTGAGGCTGATGAAATATTCCAGTTAACATTTACAGTAGTCACTTTTCTATGTTTATGTCTATCTGATTTGTGAAGTCATTTTATGCAGAAATTTTTGTGAACTGTTTGACATGTTTCTTGACATATTGTTAAATATCTTTTATGTCTTGGTATCGTAATTATATTTTAAAATATGAAGGGAAAGAATCATTCCTATTTTTAGTTTTACTAGTAAATTATTCATTTTCCAAGCAGCAGGTGGCTATTCACGGAATCAGTTCAATGGCTATGGTGGACGTGGTGGCTCAAGAGGTGGACCACGTGGAGGACGAGGAATGAACTCTGGATACCGTGGTGGTAGAGGTGGCCCCCCTTTCAATTCAAGAGGCGGTTTCCGGGGAGGAAGAGGTGGAGGAGAATCGAGGGGAGCAAGAGGTAAATCATTCTTTAACTTAAGACTTTTTCTGACATTTGTGGCTTTTGAAGAAGTGATGATTGCCTTGTTGGTGACCATGTTAAAATATGTTTGTCTTCAGTGTACTAATAGATATTTTGCTAAGAGTAAGGAGAGAAAAATGTGTGCAATATGTGCTTTTTTTCCTTGTCCTGAAGTTCCCTGGCATTTTGCTTCACTAATCAATAGGAATAAGAGGAGGTGGGAGTGCTAATTTTGTTTGAGCACGCAAATCATTGACCCAATGCCACACTGTTCCTCGCAAAATATTTTCTACCTATCAGTTCTGGGTGGCAGGCTCGCACAAAAATGCTTCAGTTTGCTTTGTTTCTCCTGTTATGAAGTATGAGATGTGATTTTCACAAATATGTATTTTTAGGGGGAGATTTGTTATCATGTTAGTCCTGTTTAATTCCCATTGCCCCATTTTATCCAACATATGAATTGTCCAAAGTATGTAAGTTGTCCCAACTGTTTTTTCAGATTTTCAAGGTCTGTTTCTAACCTATCAAAAACCAACTGAATGAATAAAGAAGCTGAAGCTTTGCTTTTTCCTTTGTGATGAATACCATTTGCTTTCTTTCCACCTGTTGATCTCCTGCATTGAATAATCTTTCTGATTTGTCTAGGTTTGAGTAAGACCAAAAAAAAAAAAAAAATAGCATACAATATTTAAAAAAAACCTATCGGTTCACCCCCCCCCCCCTTTTCCCCCTGATCACCTGAGCATGCTGCGTGTTAACTGTGTGCTCCTCTGTGATTTGTAGGCACTTATCATGGCTACCCGCCTCGTAGCAACTACAGGCCTGAAGGATACCAGGGAGTGAATGGTGGGTTGGACACTTATAACAAGCAAGGCGCTGGTGCACACAGGGGTGGAGGTGCGTGGGAGCACTTGGGCAATATGGAGTTTCCATTTAAAAAATAAAAAAAAGAGTTGAAAGAGGAAGCTCTTTGTGTTAGGGATGGAATTCTGTTCTTTTTTTTTAGTGGGATACAAATATTGTTTGATTATCAAAATATCTCCCGCAAGAACAGTTGATAAAGGAAGCTTTTGATTTTTCCTTTTTGCATGTTGGATTTTATTGAATTTGTTTTGAAAAATTTAAAAAGGAAAAAAACTCCAAGTTATTATATAGATATCCATTTTGTTGGCACATCCCGTCTATGTTAGCTTAGATTTGCAGGCAGATATGGTAGATACTTCAGATTGGAGAGGCTTAAGTTGGTGGGCTGAGATGTTCCCAGTTTTTATTTGCTTAATGTTTAAGTATTTTATATGTTTGTCTTGTTTGCAAAAAGGATGCATTGATTTTTAAAAAATGTTTTTATATGAATAGCATGGATGCTATGATATGTTCACAGAGATCTTATTTACAACAGGCAGTATTATTATATATTATAGTGCTAATGAATAACACTTGAGACCAAAATGTCGCAGAACACACTTGAGACCAAAATGTCGCAGAACTTAGTCCTAAGTCAATTTAAGATTGATATTGTATGGAGTGTGGTGTAAAGGTGGGAGTTGTAGCAATAAATGCTACAGGTGATAATTGAGACGTCATAACTAAATTGTTATTGGGGAAGGGATAATGGTGGTGAAAATTGCAATAATGATAATTCTGAGTAGATGAACTAGATCGGTCAACACAGTCTGCCCTTTTTGTTAACCAGTCCTTCCTGTAAATGTAGAACATTAACATGAGTTTGCTTTTTTTTCCTTCTTGTTTACATTTTCTCTTGTATTTCAGGATACAGAGGTGGACCCCGTGGTGGTAGTGCAGGAAGAGGGGGAAGGGGAAATTATGGCGGAAAATCCAACAGCTATGGTGGGTCAACACCTCCACAAGTGGCAGCATAACAAGAAGCAACAACAACAAATATTAAGTCTCGAATTTGAAAGTCCAGTAAAAAAGAAAACAACAACAGCAGGAGAATAGTGTGGTGTTAGAGACAGCTTTCTCCTTTTAGAGCTTGGATGTTTGGAGTATGAAGGAATGTACTCCTCTAACTTTTCAGTTTGAGGCTAAAGATCAGCGAAGTTAGAAGGCAAATTTCAAGAGCAACAACAAAGTTGGAAGAAAAAAATATTTAAAAAAAAAAACAAAAAAAAAGTATTTGTCATGACCAATAGGGAAAGTAAAAACAAGACTATCAGACCCAAGTGGATTGCTTGATCTAGAGTCATCTCAGCAACAGTGTTTTGGTTCTATAAGTATAACTAACAACTTAACTGTGTTGTTCGTAAGTATATATTTAAGAAAGCATGAAATCCCAAACTGGGAATTTTCAGTTAAGAGAAAAAAAAAGTAAAAAGCAGAAAAAAAAGAGAAAAACCCACTGATGTGACAGAGCACTTTGTTATTTAGCTATGTTTCCTCAGGATAACAATCTGTTGCAGCGGTTCTTTTACTACATCCACTCCATAGATGCTTGAAAGCTATGTTGATAATTTGCTTAGGGGATTGGGGAAGGGGGTGGGACCTGTACAGAGTTGGACTGTGGCAGAGCATCTTTTGTAAACAAATTTTTAGGGTTCCTTGTCAAAGGCAGTATGTTAGGTATCATATATCGGATGTATTGCGGATGTAAATTTAAAGTGATGGTCCTGTCTTTATTTGCTCCCATCTCTGCTTTTGTATGTGCATACTCAGATGTTTATAGAAGCCAAATAAATTCTCTCAGTAAAATATGTGTGGCTTTTCTCTGTAACAATCTCTGAAAAGATTATAAAAAATAAATAATAAAAAAAAAATAAAATAACTAACTTTGAATGTTGGAATGAATTAATTTAACATTGGTAAATGTGAGAAAATCGTCATTAACTTCACCAAAATGAGAAGTTTTTATCCCTTTTATCAAAACTTGACTAGAAATGTTGCAGTATGTCATGTCGATTTATAATTGGATATATAAAAATCTCTATTCGGTGAGATGGGGATGTTTGAATAGACAACTTTTTAGAAGCCTTTACCTTTGATTCGCCTTTTACCTTGCCTCGGTGAATGCATTTGTTTTCAGCTGTGGATTTTTTAAAACTCGTGGGTACATCACTTAAAAGTCGGCTGGTCCGACGAAGTGGAATATGCTACCAAATGAATCGACTGAAAATTTTAAAGGAGTTGAGAACAGCTTTTAGGAAATTTTATTATTAATTACCTTAATTGAAATTGTTTTTATGTGAGAATTGGGCACGTGATCAGATTTTATATGGCGGTCAGTTGGTGTGTCTTGACTTTTTTCGATCTGCGTAGACTGCTTGCCCAATTCCTTCCGATAACAACTGAGAATTAAGACCCATGCACTCATTCTCTCTATATACAATGTAGGTCCATTTGAAGAAAAGTGATATCGGCAATTATCTAACGGTTATAGGTGCAAGTTATTAACCTGAAGAGGCGGAATATAAGCAATCTTAGAATATCGATACAATTGAATTGTTCAGTCAGAACAGTGCAAAGGGTCTGGTCTCAAAAATCTGGTTGATTTTTTGTGAAATTTGATGTTAATAAAATGATACCAGGAGCATATCATTCCACAGTCATTTATCTCCCCCATAGTATTGGCTCAGTAGAGGGTGACACTTCTATTGTCCAGTGTGTGTATCTTTAACTGTCGCTTTGGATCTTCTACTGTGTTGACATGGAAATAGGGCTACACTATACCAGATCTCTCAAAGGCCATTCAGAACAAGCTTATCCGCGGACTAACAAATCTGCGGACTTCATATGACCGACTCATTTGAAACAAGCGAAACAAACTAATTTCATGATGGCTTCCCCGCCTCTACACGCGCCGTCGCTGCAGGGGCCTTGCAATAAAACCTCAGAGATGTGGTTTAATCCGTTAAATGGCGCGTGCAGAGACGGGGAGACCATCAGAGGATTGATCGGCGTTGCTTTGAAGTCCAGTTGGCCATATTTAGTCTGCGGATCATCTGTTCTGAATGGTCTCTTAGACTCGTTCTTAAACGTCACAAATAGGATCACTGACCAAGTATTGTCACAACTTATAGTAAAAACCATTGTCACGACAATCACCACTTGCTCTGGAAGCATATAAAAATGGTCGAAAATCGAGCTGAACAGACTATCTAGATTTTGTTAACTGGATAGATTTCGACTCAAACAAGCCCATGTCCATATAGACTCCATAATTTGAATAGATGGACACTTGTTTCATACATAGGTGTAGAAACATCGGCAGCCCTGATCGCAGGAAGCAGGGCATGGTTGTGGTGATGGGGTGGTAGTAGGTGCTCTGTCCACCGTTTATGTCACTTACATATTGCGTCGGGGCTCTACTCCAGACAACATATTTCCAACTTCATGTTGGCCCTACATAATATCCTTTGATACTCCCTCGCTTTTTCTTTTTATGATGCTTAGCCCTTCACAGAAAATTGCTTTCTTCGCGTCTGCTATCGCGTTCCCTTTTTTCTCCCTTTTTGGATTCAGTTAATAATGTATCTGAGGTTTATTTTAAATCTAGACATGTTAAGTTCTATTTGTTGAGTGCAACAAAGCACAAGCTGGTCCAAAGAGTATTCGAGAAAGCTACAGAAATTTGAATACTTTTTTACGTATTTGGAATGCGGAAGTTTGTATTAGCTACAGCTTAGTCAGTCGATGTTGAAAAAAACTTTTCTTTGTATCAAGTCTTCGTAGCCAATGAAATTTCGCCCTTGGAAGACAGATTTGAAAGGTGACAGGTAAAAGGAAACCCCCTTTCCATTTTTTCATTGAAATTCGATGACTTTTTGAATAGAACTAGGGGCTTGCATGAAACGTCCTTTATACTCCTGTATGGGGTATGTACAGTTGTGCATGCATCCGTGTTGGTCTTTTAAATATATGAAAAGAGTACCTTTGACAGTAAAACACGACCTTTGCAAAGTTTCATTAGAATAATAATAATAATAATAATAATAATAATAATAGGAGTAAATCTGCACCAAGTTAAAAAAACATCAACGGAGCTTGTCAATCTGACACGTAAATGTTGGAACTTCCTGAAAAGATTAGTGATTATTTGGCGCCCTTGGTCAGACATGGAAGGCGGTCTTGGCAGCCAAAGATATGGAAAGATTATTTTCCTAGTCCTCACAGTTTTTAGTGTTTGGTCAGCAGGTGGGTCTCTCTCTCTCTCTCTCTCTCTCTCTCTCTCTCTCTCTCTCTCTCTGTGTGTGTGTGCTTAGACTTAAATTTGAAGAACAATCGATAGGTAAGAATTCTAAATAACATCTTATATATTTAAGGGTCCAAATATTGACTTTTCCGAAGTCTAGAACTGATCTGTAACATGAACAAGAATATATGAAATAATTGTTAAACAATTAGGATAAACTTGAGACATAAGTCCTCATGGTAATTTCAAAATCTATAGTTAACACTTTGAATTCAACAGAGAATTAAGTGGATGGTTTTGAAACTATCGTATAATATTTTAACAGAAACATACAATTATTGATTATGGATGTCTATAAGGTGTCTCTCGACATTGTAAAAAAAAAAAAAAAAAAAAAAAGACCGACCACAATGCACCTTATAAACGAATATATTTACTTTATAAATCTATTATTCGAATGGATCCTGGATAAATGAAAATGGAAAATCGAGCGCTCTTCTACAGTAGGGGCCTATAGATGTAGGGGGCCTACGACATGAGCAAAACGTGCAACCGTGGGACTGAAAAATCCCTATTAAATCAGTTTGACACATAACTCAGTTTTCATGGGGCTTCAAAAGCAATATTTTATTAATTTCTTAAGTATAACATTGAAGGAAGGTACCTTTCGAAACATTTAAAAATAGGATGTGCTTGTTTACACGACAGATCATACGCCCAGTTTTGAGAAATGTTGACATACTGGTCCGCGGATTGCATGGAAGCCGATCCCCCCCCCCCTTGGCGTGGGGTTTGGGGCCCGCTGAAGGGTCCCGAAAGTTTTTGGTATTTTAGAGGGCAAACGGTGCCGTTTGGTACGGTTTAGAACTATGATCCAGTGCAGGCCTACTAGTATAGTATATTTCAAGAGGGGACCATTAGTGTGATTTTTTCAGAAATCGAACGGGGGATCAGGACCCCCCTGACACCCCTCCTAAATCCGCCTTTGAAATCCATATTTGTTCGTTTAAATGCGTGAAAAAGAAGCGGATTTACCAATGGCATGGTTATCATGTTGTTTAGTCTACGTCTTGTTGTTTACGCCAAATGCGCCATCTATAATGTAGTGGATAGTGTTGAATGAAAGTTCTGACAGCGTGGTCTTTGAATTTATTCCGTTCTATGACATGGTTTTAGAAGTCGTGTGCATAGGGGTACTAGAGACACACTTGTAAGAGAGGAAAAACAAGTGTTGCGAAGTGAGCGAAAATGAGAAAAGTAATCAGGCCAGAGGTAAGCATAAAGCTCAAGTGTGTGTGTGTGTGTGTGTGTGGGGGGGGGGGGGGGGGGGGGGTCTGTCTAATTAAGGATATTGTCACCCTTCGCCCCAAAAAGAACAAACAAGATTGGGTAGGATTGATTCATTCATTGAATTTTATTAAATTTTATCCAGAAATGAATTTTATTACCTGTTGTTTATATTCCAGCACAATCAAGCAAGTGCAGAGGCAACGTTTGTTACATTGAGGACCCTAGTTTCACAGACTTTCAGAGTGCAAGGCAGAGATGCCAGTCATTTGGAGGCGATGTGGTTATGGTTGACACACTTGAAGAGAGAAGATTACTGACTGAAATATGTCTTCGTAGTAAGTACATGTATCTATATATTACTAGAACTGCATATCATGGTTGGGTTTATATTATGATATTGGTCCAATCCAGGAATTATAACAGATGGCTCATGCGGTACAGGTCCTGTTCCAGTTTGTCCCGTATTTTGGTACTATTAATAACTCCAGTCAGTTCAAACATAATAAGCTAGCCACATGTAGCTATGCCTTTTTCTCGTCTTAATAGAAAAAACGGAACAGTGATGATGCCAGTAATGGTATGTTCAGACTGTTACATATACTAGTATCTCTCCATAAAAGACAACTAAAAAGAAATAAATGTTGTAGTTAACATCATTTGGGAAACCAGTCGTTATATACTGTGGAACAGTGTATAAGTAATGTGTGCATTGTATTAATAGCTATTATATAGTTTTATAGAATTACAATATTTAACTGAAGAATTAGTTTTCTCAGTCATTTTGTTGTACAATGCAATACACAATACATTATATACAATAAAGTTTATTTTCATGTCGGAAAGAATGAAAATAGCTATATTCACTAACAGAATAAATTAAAAATGATACATAATTGTTTACTACTACTTAATGTAATCCGTTAGGTAACTATACTGCACCGTATCTACTGATGGGAGCAACTTACAGTTCAGAACAATGGGTGTGGTTTACTGGAGAAGCAGTCAGTCCAGCAGTCATGTCTTGGGCAGTTGGGCAGCCTGAAGATCCTTCTACACAGCCATATCTGTGTATTGATTCCACAACTGGTATTTGGCATGATTGTGCAAGTGATTTAGAGGGAGTTTTGTGTGAGACCAAACGCTCATCATTATGTCTAGGACTGGGCTGCTGCTCTGGCCAAAATAATTCCTGTTATGTAAACTTACCTATACTTGGCAGCTGCTATTGTGATGAACATTGCTTAAGAGCAAATGATTGCTGTGAAGACTACGTGGACACCTGTGTAGGTATGCAAATTTTGTTTTAATATTTTACTAAACATTTTGTATTTTATATGTAGAGAAATGTTGTTTAATGTCAAATGAACTACTAGTACTAAATCAAGCTCAGGCCAATTAACCCTCTGGTCATCAACTTGCACCATAAAAACATTTTTTTTCATACAGGGCATCCATGTACAGTAGTAATATGATTCCCACACTGAAATGCATATTCATGTTAAATTTGTTTCTGATGGTAATACATTTATTCTTTCCTCAGTGATTGATGAGTGCTTTGCTTACACAACTGTTACTGGTGAAATATCAAGAAGTTCAATGTACCACAAGAATTCTGTTCAAGCAGTAGCATGTGATGATGAAATAGACCACGGCTGGTTTAGATTTGACATGATAACTGGGAATGATATGCCTGTGACCTGCCATTTTGAAGGTGACTGTGGTACAGATAATCCCATATGGCTTAATGGTAGGTACCTTTAAATATATATATATATCTTTCATTGTTATATACAGGCACTGTATATAAAAAGTGTCTGAATAGTGTCTATATATATTCTGATTAGTATGGCTGTCCACAGTCTGCCTCTCCCCGTCGTTGCCGTCGCCATCCCTGTCACTATCCACGTTTTCCCCATAACTGCCAAACCATATTTTTGATTTACTTTAAATTTACTGAGTGACCTTGTTTGGTAAGGAGGCAGGATGTGTTTACATTTTTCGGTAATTATTCTGTTTTTTTCCACAATTTTTTTTGACATTGGCCCCATAACTTTCAAACTGTTTTTTTGTTTTACTTTCAATTTACTGAGTGGCTTTGTTTGGTTAGGGTGCAGGATTATAAAAAAAATCGGCATGATCGCTTTACATTTACAGTTATTATTCTTTTTTTTTGTGTAAAATTTTTATTTTTCACACATTAACATTTCCATTGGCTTTTATATCCTATATGGAACTGAATCACTTCCTAGGTTTTCAATGGCCATGTTACCTGTAGTACATAATGTGAGAGGGTGAGAGAGATTATGCTGCTTGAAAGCATTATGTAACAGTGCGTCAAAATTGGCCAAAATATTATTGTTTGCACTTTTTTTTTTTGCATAATGTCTGAACGTTTGTCAGCTTTTCTGCCTTGTTTCCTGTATAGTGTCTGTATATTTGTCAGCTTTGCTGTCTAGTTATAGAAATGTGTCCTAAATGTGTATACCAACTCAGAAAACTGTAATCAAAAGCTCACGTAAGGTGCATTCACAATGAATCTGTCATACTAACTATGTAGTGCGCACTAATTCCACAGGGACTCTCTTGGCATTGTGAGAGAATATAACCGCCTAGGCCCGTAGCCCGGGGGGGGGGGGGGGGGGGGGGGNGCTGGGAAAAGGTCCACTCTGGGTAAAATTTGATCTATGTACTTGAGGATTTTGTGGTAAAAGGTCCACTTTTTCAGAAAACGACCCCCCCCTCTGAAAGTGCTGGCTACAGGCCTGCCACCTTATAACTGTAGTGAATTAGAGGCCAATTGAATGATATTGTGATATTATAGTTTTTCGAAAATTGCAAAGGGGCTTTCCAATGTAAAATTTAAAAAATTCCTGTGACTGGATCTGATCCAGGTAAAACATATTTTGTGCAATGTTATTCTGTGGGGATTTTTTAAAATTTCAGGATTTTTTATTCAGAATAAGATAAGGGCCATCAACTAAATTTGGTGGTCAGATCTGGGTACCAGCACATTGATTAAAAAAAATCTGAGCAATACATTCAGTATTATGAGCTAGACAGTGTAAACAGACATACCTATAAACAAACACACAAGCACACACACACACACAAACCGACCAAACAGCATACCTTGCAATTCTGGAAAGGGGATTAAAAAAAAATAATAAAAGATAATAAAATAAAATAAAATAAAATAATAATCCATCATGGAGGTCATGAAATAACAAGAAACATTACCATTTACCACTAAATAAGCGAAGTTCAAGCACTTACTTTATCACAATTTTTGTATCAAAGGTTCCTTACCCTCTGCTGCTGATGGTGTCATCAACAGAACCGCATGTGTAAAGAATTCCACAGTTTGCTGTGCCAAGACGTATGACATACAGATTAAGAACTGTTCTACATACAATGTGTATCATCTGCCACCTGTGACTCAGTGTCCTGAGCGTTACTGTATAGGTCATTGCTTGTCTCGTTATTTTTCATTGATAGTGAAGATACATTTACTAGTTCCTACATGTATCTTGGTACATGTATTTACAATGTACAAGGTGACTGTTTGAATTTTAATTTGTCATTTGTTCAAGTTTTCACCATGGCACAAAAATACACAAAATAAACATTAATGTTATATATGGGCATGCTAGTATACAGCAATTTTATGCATTGCATGTAACTGATGTTAAAATGATTGAACTGACTGTAAAATTTTATAAGATGCACATTTTTAATGGTTGTACATGTAAAAGATGGCTTTAAAATTCTAATTTCCTCATCTGGTTAACAATTCATTTAGGTGATAAGGCACTCTGTCCTCCAGGAACTGTCTCAGAAGATGGATTTGAACCAGGTTGCTCAGGTTAGGTCCATACATTTATTAAATTTAGAGAGTTATGCATATGGTGTTATAAAGGTAGCACTTTGTATAACACTAGACAAGCATAAAAATTAACTAAGATGGATAAATTCAATTTTTTGAATATATTTACACAGATTTTAAGAATTGGCAGCATTTAACTCACATTACGTACAGTAAACTAAAGGGATAACAGCTGTTCTTTTTATATCCATATTTCACATTAAATACATTGTAAACAACTCCTAGAAATATGATAAATACTATTTTTAATTACCACCAAAACGGTGGTTAATGCAATTATTCTGGAATTTGTGCTTGCCATCACATCATGTGACCTCCATAGATGGCTACACTCTGTAATAATCTCTTAAGAGAATATTACAAAAAAAAAAAAAAAAAAGAAACTTTTTAGGAAAAAACCAGGGACTAACTTTGAATGTTGGAATGGATTCATTAACCAATGGTCAGTATGGGAAAATTGTCATTTACCCCAGGAAAATCCATTTTTTTTGGCCAAAATGAACCTTTTAACAAACATCCCTTTAAATAAACAGTTAAATAAAAGTTTTCATTTTGTTAGATAACTTCCCAAATATAACGCAGCAACCAGACATTCAAGTGGATGAAAGAGTTGTACGCTATACTTTGGGAAATATACCAAAAAAAGAGCTTATGTTCACCTGCCTGCCCTACTATGATGAAGTTCCTCCAGAGCGGCTGTCTCAGCTTGTCTTTGATGTGGAATGGTACATTGATTCACAACTTGTCCATGAGGAGGACAGCGTCAATGTTACTGATTTGCCTGCTCAGCTCAGAGAAAGTGTCTGGCTGAGCAAATCAATTACTCTTGGTTTTCAGGTAAGAGAATATGTGATATTTTTATAGCTTTTATAGGCTACATTTAAAACCAGAAATTTATCAGAAATAGTTTGTCTGGGGAGAGTATTGTTTTTCTTAAAAAGTAATGGTATAAAAAATAAAGAGAAAATTGTCCAAATATAATGTTCTGTAACTATTGGTCAGTCATAAAACTTTTTAAAAAGAGCGTTTAGAGCTTTTTAAAAATCACATGCTGCAAGAGCTTATATTTCTTAGTTCTCATATGGGGCTGAGTATTCAAAAGATATTTCTCCAAATGTTTTAGGCCTTGCACAATTAGGTTTTAATTAAAGCTGGTCATTAGATCTTAATGTGGTGAAACATGAGATACAATTTCACAAAAATAATCGGGTGCAAGTCCATAAGCAGCAGCATGGTATATTAAAAGTTTGAATAAAATCCGTGCATTGACAGGTAACCAGTGAAGTTTTATTAAAATTGGTGTCATGTGATTCCCCACAGAAGTTCGAGTAAGAAGACGAGCTGAGATATTTTTGATGCGTTGAAGTTTCTTTCTTCTTTCTATGCTGCAACAGCAGAGTTAGTTAGATTGTTGCGCAGAGTACTGATGTTTCTGATATGATATATGCAGGATTTTTTTTGCATATTTGGCTGTTTATTTATGGTTGAGGTGGTATTAAAGTAAACGCCCAAATATTTTTTATGGTGTGAAACTATGAAAATCAGATTTGTAGAGATGGTCTTTCAGCTAAATGTTTAGAGTTTAGTTGGGTGATAAATTCTATTTAACCATCATATTTAATTTACCTGCAAGGTACCTACAGTAGTTCCTGGTGCTGCTGTCAGTCAAGGTACCATACTGTAAGATTTGAGGCCAATTTTTGGTATCAAATTTTATTCAAAGCCAGTAGCTTGTATCAGAATCTCAACTAATATTTACCTTTTTACTGAGCCATATAAGATGTTTAAAAAAATTTATCATTCCAGGTAAAATGCAGAGTAAAGGGAAAGTATGTACAAGATGGACAACAAGTTGGTGCCAGAAGTTTAGCTGTTGAAAGTCCAGAGTTTTTTGCAGGAATAAAGGTAAATGTTGCATTAGTGCCTGAAAAAAAAACTGACTACTTAAGAAACATGTTGAAATTTATTATTGTTATTATCATAAATAATAATAATGATAATTGTAATTATTTTTATACCTTATTATTTTATTGCAGTAAACTAATTATACCTTATTATACTATTGCAGTAAACTAAAGTTTGACAAGAATATACATAATGGAATGTTACAATACTATATAATGAGATGACATTAGACTATACAAAACAATAACAGTAAACTTCAATATAACTATGTTAATAAGGTATTTTTGTTTACCATACACTGACATATTACACCTTATAGATGTAAACTCAGTATGTATGTGTACACTTAGCATTATGGTTATAGTCAATATTTTTATCATTATATCTGGAGTATTGATTATGGATTTTATTGTTTTATTACTTTGTTTACATTTATAGTGAGCATAGAAAGATTTTTTTCTTTGATTATGCTGTACATATCTTTATTTCAGGTGCTGAATTCAAGTGACTTTCCAATTAGAATGAAAGAAAATGATCCCAATCCTGCCATTATAGCTTTTCAACCAACAGTGCCAATCCTGTGCACAGACAGTCCATCGCATGGCTTGTTTTGCGAAGACATCTTCCTCCAAGTGGAAGTCCGCATTCCACAACAATGGAAACAAGCACTGTGTCCATCAGAGGGTGGAGTTAGTCAAATACAACAAGTGGTGGTGGAGGCATGTGGCATAGAGATAAATGCTAAGTACTGGAATAAAACTGTCACCTTGAAAATAGCCCCAGTCATAGATGGAATATATGATGGAAACCAAATCACCAAAGTGTTGCTGTCAACAGCTGAGTTCAATGATCATCAAGCCTGGAGCAACTACAGACTACCAGATATACCAGTAAGATTGTTTTTTATTTTAAACTGGTTTTACATTAATGATGAAGTTACAGTTGTATATACCCATATAAGGATTTATAGCTGCCGAACTGCTTTTTGGATGTATCATTACTACAATTGTTCCCTGGGTTCAGCAGGGGGGTGTTTAAAGATGAGGGGGTTGTAAAGGGCATTGCAGCCCACATGTTTTTTACAACTTTTAAGGAACTTGGCCACTTCTATGAAAGGAAAAAACTGCAAAAGTGTGTGTAATTGCTAGGGAGTAATGTAATGAAAAATGGTGGCAGATACTATATAATTATACAGAATTATTTTTATTGCTTCTTGTAACGGATTAACTGATTTTCATAGGTATTGGTGGTTGATGCAGACATAGCTTTACAAGGACATGTTTGTATGGCAAACAGTGACCCACACATGGTGACCTTTGATGGAGTGTAAGTATCAAAATGTGTGCTTTGTATGTTATATCAAGGAATCTGATAACCTCAATTATACTTAAATTTTGGAATTGAGAAAATGCCTTGCATGTTAACTTAATTGTGACTTCTCAATCAGCATCTCAAAGTGTGATCTTAATCTTAATCCTAGTCATGTGACAATAACCAACATTCGACTCTGTTGTCTGTTTTTCTCTATTCATTCTGGCCAGTCAAAACTTAATTAGATATGATAATGTTGTCTCAAAGCTAACAGATTAGATAAAGATGAAGATATGGTATTTTTCTTTGTTTTTTGTTAATGAACAGACACAGATGTTTCTGTACATATAGCTGTCACCAGTCGTTGCTGTCACCCCCGTGCACTTTCACTGATAACATGATTAGTAGAAAACCATTTTACCTTTTGGCTTTAAACTTACAGAACTGAAAAATATTTATAAAATGCAGGTTTAGTTCGAAAATCAACTTCATCTAACCATTTTTCAAAAAGTTATGGTGTTTTTTTGCTTTATTCAGTGTTTATGCAGTACAGATTTCAAGGAAACTACACATTTCAAGGAAATCCAGTTGGCCTATTGTCTTGAAACTCACAGAAGTGATCAGTCTTAATAAAACAAAGGTCGAGTTAAAAAATCAGCTTGATGGACCGTTTTTCAAAAACGTTATGCTTTTTTTTTTTTTTTTTGCTTTTTTCAGCATTATTTATCCACCATTTTACAGATATCATGAAAACAGTGTCTTATTTTGTTTTACAACTTGTAGGACTGATTCGAGGACTAATATAAAGATCAAGTTCAAAAATAAGCTTGATTGGTTAGTTTTGATGAAGCTATGCCTTTCTTGTACATTATTAAGTGGTTTTTCCTTTTTCCTTCAATTCTTAGCCATGTTAACAGTCTCATAATTAGATACATAAAAAGTGTTTTTTTGTACATTTTCTCCATCTTAACAATATTTTTAGTTGATGTAAAAATGATGGTAAACCTGTTAATAAAGTGTAATAAAGTGTCAAAAATGGAAATAAACTCATATCATTGCAGTTTGTGAGATTCAACCCTTCACAATGTTCAGAATTTCAGAATGGAGCTAATTGGACATTTAAAATTGTTCTATTGATATTTTCCCCATCTCAGCAATTTTCTTAGTTGATAACATAAAAATTTCAGTCAATTGTTTTTTTTTTTTTTGTTTTAGGTTAAAAAGTGTTGAAAATGGAAATAAGCTCATTTCAGTACAGTCATCTCTTTTTTACATTTTGGTCTTTTCAAAGCAGACATGCTTAAACTGTTAGTCCCATCAGTCATGACCTATGTAATTTGTCTGGACCGGTAAAAAATTGGACTTGGTCGGCCCAAAGGACCGACAAGAGTTTTAAGAGCCCCATTTTGAATTAACAGTCATCATTCGACATACTTCACTAATGAAATTATATAAAGCCCAAAGTGTTTTTTCCCTTCCATTTCAAACCGACCACATTCACAAACAAAGTAAGCTACCTAATCGTAGTTTCCGTCTCAAACAAATAGGGTGATTTTCAGTCTGGCAAAAATCCATTCGGTCCTTCAAATTTTTCATTACTGCCGGTCCAAATGTCTAGCCATTCTGAAAAGTTTTCAGCATGTCTGTCAAGGTGTGACTTTGAAATTCCATGGGCCTGAAGACTTGTTAGTCACACTTTCTAAATATCTGTGATAACTGCAGTGCATTATGAAAGATTGGTGGTGATTATGCTGTTAAGCATTATTTAATACTACTGTAACACCAAAATTGAAGTTATCCTTATTTTGGGCTCTGCCTCTTAAGTCATTTTCAAAGTGTGAACTTGAAATCTCATGGGCCTGAAGCCCTATGCTAGTTACACATTGTACTTACATCGGTATTACCTGTTGTGCATAATTAAAATTTGTTGACTTTGCAGTTAAGCATAATGCATTATTGCATCAGAATTGACAGTATCCTATTTTGTGCATTATTATTTTCTGCTTTTTGTCTGTATATTTGACAGCTTTGCTACTTTGTTTTTACATAATGTTCTCCAGTAAATTTTGTGACCCATTTTGAAGAATTTCTATAAAAAATTATTCTTCACATATTCCAGTGGGTATGAATGCCAGCTTCCAGGAGAATTCATACTGTATAAACACCAAACTTTACCAATCCAGGTATGATTACATTGTATGTCATTTATACCCTGAACCTTTGATGTAGGTGGTACATATATGCTTTGTGTCATCAAATTTAGTTTCACCTCCCACTATTTTTTTCAAATTTGTTTGGTGTTATTATTATTATTTCATGTCTTATTTTCTTGCAGTAACTACTACTGTAGTATACAATGTGATGTAATTTCAAACCTAAGAATGGTAGGTTGGCATAGCACTTTTTTTATAAAGGCAATAAGTTTCTCTGTATAATTTCCTTACCTGGTCTCCATGTTTCTCATTTCTTTACAGGTGCATGGTTTCTTCAAAAAGTGTAATCATGGATGGGCTTTTTGTCCTTGTGCTGTCACAGTCATGTCTGGGGGCGATCTATTTATATTTGACAGATGCAGATCTGGAACAGGGTCTGAAACAACTAAGGACATTAAAAAACCAATGCGTTCAGGACTTCTTGGTTGTGAACATGGACAAATGAGAGTAGAGTCTTTTAATAATGCAAAAGACTACAAGGTTTGAGCTTTATTTTAAATGCTAATTTATGATACTGAATTACAGGTTATTAACTCTAAATCCACAAAACTGGTTTTGTAGTGTTCACCTTTTAATGAATGATACTTGGATGCTTCCTTTGCTATATAACATAGGCTAAGGCTGTGTTTAAGAGTACAAGTTATAGTACTAGCAGGATCGATCTATCTCAGCGGGAATTCTTTTTAGGGCGCAGTTGATATAATCAGTTTCCTTATTTGGCATGCCCTCTTGCAAAGCAACATGAACAGCATCATGAACCACAAAGCTTTCCCAACTTTACCCAAGTACTTAAAGTTACGAACAGGCATGCCAAACAATTAAGCTGATATATCATTACATTGACTGCGGCTTAGCAAGAATCAATCCTGTTAGTATTATAAAAACTTCAGTTCTGGACACGGACTTAGTGTGCAGTTCAAGCTACAATTGTCAGCTGCACTCACTATAGCAGAAATTTCATCAGCCAAATCAAAACTCCTCTGTTTTAATTTGAACATTATCTTATTATTTTCTGTAGCAATCGATTATCTGGCAAACATTTGATATACCAGCATGAACCTATATGGTTATAGTTGTAGTTCACAATTCAGAGTCAGTTGTATATAAACTAATCCGGGGGGGGGGGGGGGGGGGGAATAGTGATACAGAGAGAATCAGCAGAAAGAAAACATATGGGTTTCATTGTACATCTAATATTTATCATTTTGGACCTATATTTCAGATATATTTGCCAACAGGAGGTTATGTATATGCCAGGTCATATTATTACATAGATGACTATTACATGAATATCCACGTACACCCAGGGTCTAGGGATGTAGAATCTACTGTGGGACTCTGTGGAACTCTAAATGGAATCAAAAATGATGATTTTCTACGACCTGATGGTACAGTAGACTCTTTCTCCTGGCATCCCAATGAATTCTCACTGTCATGGAGGTGAGGCATGTTTCACACTTTGGCGAGCAAAATCAGTAAACCCAGGGCATTCTAGATCAACAATATAACAGACTTGTTTTCATTGAACAAACAGCTTTTAAGACTTACTTAGTTTTATTCATATGACCTCATTTAGTTAATGTGATTAGATTCAGGGAATCAGTCTTGGTCGAATGATCATTACATTGGGAAGGCACCCTAATATGGCACACCTATCAGACTAGCACACTCAACTCACTCCTAGCACACTGTATCTTGCTTTAAAGCAAAGCAGCTGTGAAGGATTACAGTACATAATTACAAGATGTTCATTATGATACAAGGCCAAAATGTTCCTTTGACTATTCCTTGGAATGTACATGGTACTTGTGGTCTGTTAATTATGCTATGAAAGACAATATTTGTCACAATTTCTTAAAGGTTATTTATCATTATGCTAAAATTTTTCTTTTACAATTATTATCTATGATCAATGAATAAATAGATATGTATTTCAAAAAATCTCAAAATTTCAGAGTGTCAAATGCCTCGGATTCAATGTATAATGGCATCCCAGCATCTGCCAATGTGGCTTCCATTCAAGGAGAGTATTGCAGATGCCCCAACATGGGTGACCAGATTGTGTTTAACAGTACCGTTCCTGTGGACTGTAGCTACACCGAGAATGTGGCAAAGTGTGCTTCAGACAACAGTTACTCAGAGAAACAACTAGCAAAATGTCGAAGAAGAAGGGCAGCTGCTGGTCATGATGAAATATTCGAGATACGTAAATTTGAATATAACCCAGATGACAGATTAGAGGTGAGATGCTTTTTAACATTCATAACGTTATGTATGTGAGTGAAAAAAATGGAAAATGAACTATTCTGAATAAGTCATTTATTCCAGCTTTGGGTCAAATACACCTCACCCAAAGTCAATAATTGTATTTAATAATTGGGTTCTGGCAGTTAAATTTTAAATTCTAAATTCTGAAGCAAGGGGATTCAAGGATTTTATTTCAAAGATTTAATTTTATATAAAATGTAAAAAAAAAAACAAAAAAAAACATTGGTAAATAGTCAAACCAAAAACACTGTAAAGCCAAGCTTCCTCTTAAACTGGGTGGGGGCTAAGCTTATTCAGTCAAAAAATTGAGCAGCTCAATTGCACAACAAAAGCACCACTCAAACCACCTACCATGTGTGGAATCATGCACTAATTCCACATTGTGTATTCAGAGTTAATCAAAGTATTTAGTTAATTCGTTAATGGAAATTGATACACTGAAATTCAGTACAGTTATAAATTAAAGTTAAAGTCATTTTAGACGGTTCACAACACATGGTGAGAAAAAAAAAGAATGACCAACTGTCATGTTTAGTAATTCAACTTTTCAGCACAAAGACAGGTGAAAATGGTACATGTGCATGTAACAGAAGAGTGATGAATTGGTACTCTGTCCAAAATCAGTTAATTTTTTTTTCAAAATATAGCAGCATGGTGAAAGAGATTTTATGTATTATTACTTAGCCATACAGAATGTGTTTTAGTATCTAAAAACACCAAATACTTTTGTTAACTTTTTGAAAAGGGCAAATTCATTTTAGCCATTAGGCCTTAACAAGTGTCCACAGTTTTTGAGCTGAAGTCGTGAAAATTTGCCATTGTTGTATTCAAGCTACATTGTAAATAAAGTTGACAAAACTGCAATACTGCTTCCAAAAATATATTGCAGGCATATCAATAAGTTATACATTTTAACCATCATGTTACAAAAGTATCAAAGGGTAGAAATAAAGATTTTTGGATGGATATTTTGAAACATAAACAAGATGGCCACCTATGCATCTGCTTGAAATTTGTTAACTGAAAGTGCACCTTATACATTGTACATGTAGTCCTTTCCATGGCCACAAATTTATAAATGCTTATTAGGATATAAAGACTTTTATCTTATACTAGTACTACTAGCATGAGCATTTGTAATGAAGCTGAAATATTTTTCTTGAAATTTTTATCTCCTGACACCACTTCAGGAGATTGATGTGAAACTGAATACTTTTAATAGTGTGACCTTAATAGCATAACAGTTCAAATTTATCTTCATATTACACATAACAATGAATTTAAAAGTGCTTGCCTGTTTCTGAGAGCCTTATCCAACATCATATACTCTACACTCTGCTCTTCTCGCGTTTTAATATATTTTGACAGCATTTTAATTTGCAACCTCAAGTCACGCAAGTGAGCACACATCACCTCTCATTGTTTACTGCACTCTATTCATTCTGACCAATAAGAGAGCTGGAAATGGGCCCCACCTCCAAGTGTGTACATTTCTTCAGAAATGATTACTTGGTTCTAGTTAAATTAATTGTAAGTGAATGGCAATATCTTTATAACTTAGGCACCAACATGGCAGAATGGTTGGTCAGAAGTGAAGGCGGAGGCGTTCTGCAGTAATTATATATATAACAGCAGTGCTGGGAAAGCCTGTCAGGCAGTCGAGAGTGTGGATTACGAAGTAGCTCTCCGAGGATGCAAGGATGACATACATGTAGGTATTTATGTTCAGGGGAGTCCAACTGCATGTTTACACCACACAGGCACATATTTCAATTACTTTCTGTCTTATGAAAGAGATTTATGGTCTCTGGAAAAGATGATTATACTTAGAGACTTTTATTTATTTTCTACCTTGATGTTAACTGTATTACAGTCCTGTAATAATGTTTACTATACTTGCATCTTTTTGTCTCATATGTTGCTGTGGGTATCGAATTGTACCCTGTATCTCCACCACCCCTCACCCCCTGTAAAAGGGCTGGGGCAGGTCCCAGAAATATTATCATCAGCTTAATTATCAGATGATGTTGACGTGTATCACAATTCAAAAGATGTTCCCATTCACAGTTTATTCCCTACATATAGTTAACAGGAGGCACTGCCTGGGCCCTTGCAGCACTGGATCCTATCAAGGGAATGTGTGTGGGAGAATTGGCCAAAAATGAGAGCTACTGGGTAGTTGACAACTCTACAGGAGAGGTTGCACTTCCTGCAGAGTTAGATGTCATCAAGTGCCCTAATGATTGCAGCTACAATGGAGAATGTATTAATAATAATGGTAAGATATATAATACATAATATTTGTTCATTCATTATTTTTGTAATCGTGGATGGTGTGCTAGGAGTGGGGTTGAGTTGGGTGTATGGTGGTCAGATCAACCTGGCTCTAAATAACTATAGGGTTGCAGGTTACTACTACAATGTATATGCACCCCCTCTAGGGGAGTATAATATATAATCATAATGAGACTAGTTTGCAAGTACTCTGTGCAGATAAGACTGTTGTGATAACAATGGACTCTCCATAAAACACCATTTGTCTGGCACACCAAAACTTTATATTTGTGTGAAAGTGATGTGGGAGGAATATATATAAGGTATTCATTCTCAATATTCTTTAAAATCTAAATATGTCTGAAGTAATATGTTTTTTTTTTAAATTTCTCTTCTAGACAGTACCAGTAGTATATTTTTATGGAACTTTTAAATTTCATCAATTATGTTACTTGAAACATGTTTTGTCATTAAGATCATTTTGGAATGGTAGTTTGCATGATTATACGCCAGACTGCAGATATTTTCACTCATTTTAGGTACTAGTAGCTGTGAATGCTACCCAGGGTTTGTGTCAAGTGATTGTTCTATCAGCAGGGATACTATTCCTGACTTATTTTATATGCCAACAAATGGGCTTTGTGACATTTCTCAGCGTCCATGTCTTGAAACTCCAGTTTATGGAGGCCCATTTGTACAGTCATCCAACCTGTCTTGTAAAACGGAACATTTCACGGTAAGTTGGATTGATTGCAAGTTGCAATATTTTTATATCTAATAAAGAAAATCTTTGAAAATATCAACTATTTAAGATGGCTAGATAATTGCATAGTGTAACAGTATTCTCAGAAATCTTTTGCAGTTTTTCAACTTTTTCACTAGGCATCTGATGTGATAACTGAATATAATGAAGCAGAGTTCGTACATGAAGAAGAGGTGATCTGCCCATTTCCAAAATTGCGTCAGAAGAGGAGTGATATCATTAGTGAGGAAGTGATAAAGATTTACAATATCAGCATCAGTAATGATGGTACCAACTACAGTCAACCTCTGAAAGTGGCTGTGTATGACTCTAAATGCTACAAATGTGATGGGCCATCACAATGCCAATTAAAGGTAACAAGATATATTTTTACTAAAAAAAACAAAAAAACTACTTTTGAATAAGGTATATGTTTTTTGTTCTCTTAATGAAAATAGTATGTTTAAGTAATGAAAAGATTGATTTCAGGATATAGTATACTGAAGAAATATAGTACATCATTCCAACTGTAAATAATGTCTTTTCAGAACCTTAAAAATATATATCTGCAGCCATATGTGTCTGCTTAGCGTAATGCCATGAACATATTAAGTTCTCCAAAATTAGTTGTACCGACATGTATATGATTGTTTTCAGAATGGTACTTGCAGCATAAATGGCAAATGCTTTAATAAGGAGGAACAAAACCCCAGTGATGCCTGCCAAATCTGTAATCCTAATGTTACTACTAGTGATTGGTATCATCGGGTATGTATGTAACTCTTTTCAGACAGCTACTGCAGTAGGTCACTGACAGGTAAAGGTCCAATGTTATATTGGTGCCGTTGTCTAGCATGTGAGTTTTTTTAGAAAAGTCATCTAAACAGTGAATTGTCATCAGACAAATTGTTTGGAGTAAAATAAATTTGCTCTAATTTGAAAATACTGCATCTTTTTCAAAAACCATGTTTTAATTTTTTTTGTACTAGTATGTGACAACCACATTAAAATTTCCCCAATATTAAGGTATTGTACATTTTCTTACCTGTGCGGAAAGTCCTGGCATTAACTTTTTAAGCGAAGTCATCTAAATTTGAATTGTCATCAGGCACATCGTTTTAGATCCATGGTGATGAGAAAATCATGTGTGAAATTAATTTGCTTTTGATACTTTTTGTGCCTAAATATATTACATCTTTTATACATAGCCCGTGTTTTAAATTTTGCACTGGTATGCAACAATCACTTTAAAATTTCCTTAGTTTTAATTTATCTGTGCAAGAAGTCTAGGCATAATTCAGGTCTTAAATGAACAGAAGTTAAGTGTTAACGGAATTAATTGATAAATACAAAGTTTTGTGCATAAGTGAACAGAAGATGGAACATAGCTTAAATCCTGCCCACTTATACCTGTAGTCCTAGTGTTCACATTTACAAACTTAATTGATCTTCCAGTTTACAAATTGCATTTGTAGAAATGGCCAAACTTCTTGATTATATTATGGCACTGGTACAAGTAGCCATTTGCATTGCATATTCAAATATTGGGGTCATCCCGATACTCCCCCGCACAGTTACTCCCCCGCACCGATACTCCCCCTTAGTAAATTTTTGCATTATGCACGTCGATACGACCCCACACCGATAGATCCCCACATCGATAAACCCCTTGTAAAATTGCCGTTATACGCACACCGTTACTCCCCCGCACCGATACTCTATTTATTTTGGATACCAGGTAGTCGAGCTGAAACTTTTACCACATTATACCACCATAAGCTGGTACCTGAGAGTGTATATTGTACCTCTAGTTGGTACCGTTTGGATTACAGGTATATAACACTGGCTGGTGTGACGCATGTACAGACTGTACGACAAAATACAGAGAATAAAAACAAGCAGTAGCATGAAGTTACAGCAACATTGGCGTTTAAGCATATATATATATATATACATGTATATGCCAGTTCCTTTTTTCAGCCCAGTACCTGCACCATTGACAATCAGTGTTACACAGATGGTCAAGAAAGGACAGGGTCTTTTTGCCATGTTTGTTCATCAGATAAGAACAGGAATTCTTGGGAAATTAAGGTATTTTTTTATGATTCAGTATGATTCAAGTATAATGAAGTGTTTCCCCAAAACAAGCAATTTTATTTCAATAAGTGTTAACTGGTTAAGCTCAGTTTTTTGTGAAATTTTCTGTTTTATATTGCATTATAGAATGGAACATGCAGAATTGAAGAAATGTGTTATAAGGAAAATGACACAAATCCTGATGACCCTTGTCAGATTTGCATCCCATCATGGAACAAAACTGCTTGGTATACACAGGTAAATTAGCTTGTATAGCTTGTACATGTAGCACTAAACAAAAATCATAAGCAGCAATTTTGAATTAATTTGGGATGTAGGCTACAAAAATTGACTTACTGGCTAAAATGGGACAATGTGCCCCTCTGGAACATACAATTTACACAAAAATAGGCGATTTTTGTATGACTGAATTGAATATTGATAACTTAACAAAGTACAAGTATCCTTTATATGGAGTAAATGCACAATGCCTAATTCAGGGGAACAAGAAGAGGGTCATCTACTGATATATGAATTATATACTGGCAGATAGCTTATTTAGAATGTAAGTTTGCCACCACCTTGTCATGCCTTCCTGCAATATTTAAAGAATTTTATGTCATGCTCTTACCGGCATAGGTATGTTTTTCTTCAGGTTTGGGAAAGGGCTGAGAGTGGATTCATCAACTTTTATCTCTGCAGTCTGTACCTGCTGTGAATCTGGAATTGTCTGAATAAGCTGTTAACTTTGTTTATCAGGTTATGCATTATCATATGTAAGGCCATACTGTTATAAGAAAATATGTTGTTTCAGAACAGTGCATGTAGAATAAATGGGACATGTTATCACGAGGGAGATGCACTGGAAGGAAATTCATGTAAAGTTTGCAACCCAGCTGTCAACATCACAGATTGGGTGCTCCTGGTGAGTTAATTGATTTATTAGAAAGTTTAATAAATGTTGATACTGAATGTTAATTTGATATTAAAAGTTCTTCAACAGTGTGAAAACATGATAAACATATGTCAAGTTAATCTTAGGACTAAATGAGAACGAATGTTTTTTTCTTTTTCTTTCAGAATGAAACATGCTTTGTGAACTATACTTGCTATAACAGTAGTGACAGAAATCCTACAGAACCCTGTCAGTTGTGTGACCCTAAGTACAGCACAGAGACATGGTTTGATCTGGTGAGAAATCCATAACAACTGTTGTTGAAAAAGGCAAATGTTTCTGAAGAGACTTCACATGTAGTATTTACATGTATCTATGTAACATGGTGTTCCCTTAAGGATCTAAGAAAAATGTAATAGCCATATTTCTCTCACACTGAAATACCTGGTACTTATGAACATAAAAATAGTAATATTTCTGTCTCCAGAATGGTACCTGCAGTATAAATGGTTCATGCTACAATGAAACCCAGCGGAATCCAGCAAGGCCATGCCAGATTTGTGATCCAGGTGTTTCAGAGACAAATTGGACAGAGCTGGTGAGAAATTCTTTCATTCAGAGCATATGTTTAGTATGGTAGTTTTTGTTATTTTCTGTGAATAATGACAAATGAAAGATGCAAAATTTTCCAGATATCAACATAATAAATTATATTTGAAAGTAAGCCCTGTTGAAAGATATGTTATTTTTTTCAGAGTGGACATTGTGAAATTGAGGGGAGCTGTATTAGCAGCCAAGAATCAAGAAGAGGTCATGGGTGTCACATTTGTACTCCCAGCACTTCTAAAACCTCTTGGACAATCAAGGTACAAGCCACATTGTGATATCATTAAATGACAAATGGGAAGAATTTGTTGGACACAAAGACATTTCCTGTATCTGACAAGTTTGCATATTCGTGGGTAAAATTGCTTGAATTGGGTAGAAAATGTTTGGGTCAAAGGAAACCTGAATATCTCTATCCAGAATGGCAAGGTACCATGAGACATTTTCTGATATAAGTCAATAACTGCACAGAGTGAGAAAAATTGGCTGTCCGTGGGAGAATTAAATTTGCCTATCTCTGATAGATCCCCTGACTAACAATCTTAAAGATGGATAGGTCATATGTGAGCAGTATGGAGAAAATGGTAATCCCAAAAGTAGTTATGATGGGCACCAGAAGAAGCCCCCCCCCCCTCCCCCCCCCAAAAAAAATAATAAATAGAAATAATGAGAATAAAATAAATAAGTAAAATAAATAAAAATAAAAAATAATAAATACAATTTTAAAAAATAAAGACATGGAAAAGATCTGTTGAGAAAAAGATACAACATCAAGGCTGGACCTGGGAACAATTTGAGGTCTATGTAGCAAACCTCTGGCGAGCTCTGGTAGATGCCCTATGTGTCATGCTTGCACAAAAATGTTAATGAATGTGAATGTGCTCAGTGATCACTGTCCAGTGTTCCTGGGTGTAAAGAAAAATACAATATCTTTATGTATAAGACCACAAATTTTCTTCAGAAGACTTAAAGAAAGAGCTATAAATGTGAAACTCAATGATAAGTAAACAGTAGGTGTAAATGGTAACTTCAGTGCTAACAAAAACGAATAGTTGATGAGGAAAGGAGGGTTGATTTTTGGATTGAGCTGGATTATAATGATGTGCACTTCAGTCTGAGCAAGATACCCTACCTTGCTAAGGTATCTACCCTGAACAGTGAAACGTCTGACGAGGAATATTATAGAAGTGGGAAACTAAAAGTAGGTAACTGAATCGGCATAACATGTGCCCATGCGATATCCATTAAATTTCGGGACATTGCGTCCGCCTATGTCATCAGGTGACTGGAGAATCTACACGCAAGGACCCTTAATTTCTTTGTGCAGTCGCAGTGACCGCTATCGGAGCAAACAAGCGACTCCTGGATAAAGAACATATTGTCAACTGCAACTGCTAAATAGCTAGAGAAACTAAAACTTACCGCATTCATGTAACAGTCAGCAATTTGTACTGTTGATCCTTGTTTGAAGTTGTGCAGAATCTGTCACTGTACGCTTCAACAGATCGAGTGAACTGCTGGAAAGTTCTCATAGAGGTAAAATGAAACTTTTTGAACTGAAGATTTCAGTTGCAGATTTGAGATAACTTGTAGCTTAATTGTATCATGCTCGTGAACAGAATGAATCAAGCAAAATGAGGCCAGGCAGTGATGCCCCATGGTATAAGTAGCAACATGTGCCTCTAAGGAGATTACCCCTCTAGGGCACAATTGAGCATGAGCAGAATGCACATGTGCTTAAATAAGCTCTCTGGAGATTGTTGTCGCCATAAAATGTCGTTTGACTACGCCAAACTTTCCTATTTCCAGAATGGTACCTGCAGTATAAATGGTTCATGCTACAATGAAACCCAGCAGAATCCAGCAAGGCCATGCCAGATATGTGATCCTGTAGTGTCAATCACACAGTGGACAGATCTGGTGAGAATATCTCAATAAAAAAATTGATGCAATTACATACAGCATTACTATGGCAGAATATTGAAAAGATAAATTGGATAGAATTGAAAATATTATTATGCATTTGGTCATATAATCAATTATAGTTGTCTGTGAGTGATTTTTATTATCAGGAGAAAACTAGATGATATGACATAATAAAAAGGTAATTTAAAATTTTAACGTATATTTTCATAATGGCTGCTGTTTTCTTTTCAGAATCAAACTTGTGAACTTGATGGGAAATGCATCAGCAACCTTGAATCAAGAAATGGTCATGTGTGTCACATTTGTTCTCCTAGCACCTCTAGAACCTCTTGGACAATCAAGGTACTACGGGTTTATATATTGTGATATCAGTTAATTACCACATACATTGTAGAATGGAATAAATTTATTGTCCATGAATTGTCTTTTCATATATGTTAAAATTAACCAATATTCTCAAATAAAAGCAAGGCATAATAAAATTTCTATTTCCAGAATGGTACCTGCAGAATAAATGGTTTATGCTACAATGAAACCCAGCAGAATCCAGCAAGGCTGTGCCAGATTTGTGATCCCAGCATTTCACAGACACTGTGGACAATTTTGGTATAGATGCATGTAGTTTCATTATGTCAAGTGAAGCATTATACTGGTATATCTGTATATCATGATTGTCTTTAGTTTGTAACATTGAGAAGTTTTGCACATGTATTTAATGAAGATAAATGGATTGCAAATGCAGTTTGTTTTTACATGACATATTTTACCATACATACTAAAACAAAACATCACTCAAATTTTTCAGAAAAACACAAACCTCTTGGACAATCGAGGTACATGACATGCTGTCTATGAATTGTCTTTTCATAATTGATATTAAAAATTAATTAATAAGGGTTACTTAAATAGTGTAATTTCTATTTCCAGAATGGTACCTGCAGTATAAATGGTTCATGCTACAGTGAAACCCAGCAGAATCCAGCAAGGCTGTGCCAGATTTGTGATCCTGGAGTGTCAAATACACAGTGGACAGATCTGGTGAGAAGTTATTTTATTTAGAAAGCAATTATTTTACGTAGTTGTGTAGGATGGCAGTTTTGGGAAATATGCAGCCTAGTTTGATGAAACTACTATATTATGGCAAGAATCTTTTCTGAAAAATGATATGTTTGTAAATTTTTTTTCAGAGTGAAAATTGTGAAATTGAGGGGATCTGTATTGGCAACCTGGAATCAAGAAGAAGTCATGTGTGTCACGTTTGTTCCTCCAGCAATTCAAGAACCGCTTGGACAATCAAGGTACAAGCCACATTCTGATGTAATTGAATAATAAATAAAGAAGATTTTTAGACATGAAGTCATTTTCTTTATCTGCCAAGTTTGCATATTTTTGGTAAAAAAAATCTGTTATCTGTGTACAGAATGGGAAGGTACTATGATACTTTCTTTTATTAGTTAATGTTTCACAGAGTTAGAGAAATTGATTGTCAATAAAATAATAAAATTTGTCTATCTCTGTCCAGTGAACAAATTGGGTTTAAAGAAAATAAAATTTCTGTCTCCAGAATGGCACCTGCAGTATAAATGGTTCATGCTACAATGAAACCCAGCAGAATCCAACAAAGCCATGCCAGATATGTGATCCCAGAGTGTCAAATACACAGTGGACAGATCTGGTTAGAAGTTATTCTATTTAGAAAAAGCATATTTTACTTGAGTAATAGGGCAGTTTTAAAAAATATTATATCTAGTTTGGTGAAACTATTGTATTCTTGCAAGAATCTTTTATGAATAATGATATGCTCTTATATTTTTTTTTCAGAATGAAAATTGTGAAATTGAAGGGATCTGTATTGGCAACCTAGAATCAAGAAGAGGTCATGTGTGTCATGTTTGTTCCTCCAGCAATTCTAGAACTGCTTGGACAATCAAGGTACAAGCCACAGTCTGATGTAATTGAATTATAAATGAGTAAGATTTTTACCTCCGCCAAGGAGGTTATGTTTTCACCCCTGTTTGTTTGTTTGTCTGTCATCAACATAACTCAAAAAGTTATGGACCGATTTTGATGAAATTTTCAGGAACTGTCAGAAGTTTTTGGTGGTGATCTGGATCAATAATCAATCAATAATTAATAATAATAATAAATTGCTGCCTTGGCGGAGGTCTGCGCTCTCCGGGTGCTTTTCTAGTTTGGACATGAAAGTCATTTTCTTTATCTGCCAAATTTGCATATTTTTTGGTTAAAAAAATCTGTTACCTGTATCCAGAATGGAGGGGTACTGTGATGCTTTCTGTTATCAGTTAATTATTTCACAAAGTAAGAGAAATTGATTGCCCATAAAATAATAAAATTTGCCTGTCTCTGTCCAGTGAACATATTTAATCATTTAGTGTTGTTGGGTTGAAATAAAATACAATTTCTATTTCCAGAATGGCACCTGCAGAATAAATGGTTCATGTTACAATGAAACCCAGCAGAATCCAGCAAGGCCATGCCAGATATGTGATCCCAATGTGTCGAACACAGAGTGGACAGATCTGGTGAGAATATCGCTTGTAGCATTGAGCATTACTGTGGCATCATATTGAAAAAATAAAGGAAAGAAAAACTTACTGCATGTATTTGGTAAAATTATCAGAGATGATTGTCAATGTTGTTGTATTTTCCTTCATAATTAAACTTGTGAACTTGACAGGAAAGACAAGAAATATAATATAAAGACAAGCAATAAAAAGTTTAGTTTACATTGTCTAATGTGGCACTTTTTGATTTCATAAGGTGCAATTTGGAAAAAAAGAATTCTACTGCCATACAGCTGGAGTCTGCACTGAAAAACTGCACATTAAAGAATTTTTTGAGTTTCTCTAATATTTATTTGACATTTAAATGATTCAGTGGTCTCTGCCTTTAAGTTAAATGATTGTAAACGATTCTCCTTTTTCAGAATGTAACTTGTGAACTTGATGGGAAATGCCTTGGCAACCTTGAATCAAGAGATGGTCACGTGTGTCACATTTGTTCTCCCAGCACCTCTAGAACCTCTTGGACAATCAAGGTGCTAGATATGTTCTGTTTCAGCAAATTATCACAAACAAATTTATTGTCTGTGAATTGTCTTTTTATGTACAGACACACTATGTCTTTACATATAGCCAGTCACCTGTGTCTTTTGTCGCCATCGTCATCATGGCCATCGACACCATACATTTTCAGTGATAACAGATAAGTGGAAAATCATTTGACCTAGTTTCTTCAAACTTGTAAACTGATGAAGATTCCTAAAATACAGTTCGAAAATCGGTTTGATCGGACCATATTTATGGAATTTATGCTGTTTTTTTTCTCTTTGTTTAGCACAAATGCAATACAGACAACTAATTTCAAGGAAATCAATAGGCCTATTGTTTTGAAAATTATAGGAGTGAACATTATTACTGATCAAGTTCGATCAAGTGTAATTCAGCTTGATCGTACCATTTTCATAAAGTAAGACTGTTTTTTTTTTGTCTTTTTCAGTATATTATGAAAATTAAATGCTGAATATCTCCCAAACAAAAGGAATTGCTTGAAAGATTACTGTAGAAGTCTGACCAAAAAGTAATATGTGAAGATTTTCACCTTTGACCTATATGTCAAGGTCAAATGTGCTCAAATTTTGTAAAAAAAAATAATTTTCTGTGAAAAAATATTTGTTAGTGCTGATTTGGTCAAATGGGCTCAAATTTTGTAAAAAAAATTAATTTTCTGTGAAAATATATTTGTTAGTGCTGATTTATGATGCTGTGATGAGAAGTTACCCTTGGGGTCTTCTTTTGTCATCCTGAATTCGGGATCATTCCAAGGGAGAAGCATCCATTTGATGTCAAAACTGAAAAGTGTCTGTAATTCAAGAACTGTAAAAGCTATATAGACCTCTTGTGTGTTGCAATTTGTAGAGCTTGTCAAGTGCAACACTGAAAGTGGTAGCCTTTTTATGATTGTTTGTTCGTTTGCTTTCTATGTATTTCAGGAATTGTGCTATTTTTAAAAAATAATGCTCAGTTTAAAAGAAATATTTTAAAATGTGAAATTTTCCCAAACTAGGAGAGATACACCCATAGTTACAAATAAACTTGCATAGAAAATCATATATTGGCAATCTTAATAAGGCCTTGTATTTGACCTTTGATATACTTTCCACCATGAACTGCACTTAGCAAATTTTCCGGCTGTAATATCTCCAAAACTGGAGTTCACCATGAACTGAACTTTGTAAATTTTCTAGCCCATATATCTCCTAAACTGGCTGAGATACGTCCATAGTTATTATTGAGCTTGAATAGAAAATAATATATGACCTTCAATTTGACATCTGACCATTGTCCACATACAATGCGCTTTGCATATTTACTAGCCCATATTTCTATGCAACTTAAACAGATACATCCATAGCAACCATTAAATTTGATTGAGCTTAATCCTGTTAAAATTTAATCTTGATTTTGGTGTTTTAAAAGCATGCTTAAAAGCATCATACAAAATTGCATCAAAACTGAGAAAATAACCTATTTATTGTCCATTATTATTATTATTTTTTTTTTTTTGTTTTGTTTTGTTTTTTTGTCTGAACATTTAACAGCGTTGTTATAAGATAATGAGTTATAAGATAATGAAATTAATTTATGTTCTAAAATAAAAGTAAATAAAAATAATTTTTTTCCAGAATGGCACCTGTAGTATAAATGGTTCATGCTACAATGAAACCCAGCAGAATCCAGAAAAGCCATGCCAGATTTGTGATCCCAGCATTTCACAGACAATGTGGACAATTTTGGTAGATACATGTAGTTTCATTATGTCAAGTGAAGCATTATATATATTCTTTATATAATGGATGTCTTTGGTTTGTAACATTGAGAAATCTTGAGCATGTATTCAATGGAGTAAATGAACTGTAAATTTAGTTTGTTGTTACATGACATAGGGTACCATATAGTGCTTCACTCCACTGTACCATCACTCATATGTTTTTCAGAATAACACCTGCATGATAGATGGTGTATGTTACAGTACATGTCAAGTGAACCCAGGGGACAATACAACAGTCTGTTATGCCAATACCACAGCATACAACTGGACTTCAGCAGAAGGTACGTAAAAAGCTGTCTTTGTGCTTTTTTAAAACAATCTTATGCGTGGCCTTGAACTAAACTTTCCTTAACATAGGAATCAGTGTCAAGCACAATAGTGATATAAGATATTTTGGAAGTCTCAAGTAAAATACTTCTCTGCTTTTGACAGCAGTACACTTGGTTTATGATTCAATTTTAAACAATATCTTTATGATACCTTTATACCTTTTTAGCATGTAACAAAATGGTTGATACTGGTAGTACAGTTAAGGCAGTGTCAGATGCCAACATGGCAGTTATCTTAGGAGGTGTGCTGGGGAGCATATCGTTTATTGCTGTGACTCTAATAGCGGTTGCAGCAATTATACATGTCCTACATTGGAAATCTAAGCAAAAGAAAAGGTAAGTTTTTAAGTAGATGTTTATTCCTTTAATAATTAGTTTTCTTCACAAAAGCAATAGTTATATTTTTTATCCTTTAGTCAGTCTATCTTTTATTTGGCACCTTAACATCATCCTGTAGCTGTGAGATTCATCCATCTCAAGGCAATTTCAGTGTACTAAAGAAATATGGAAGCCTTATTGTGTCTACTTTATAATTATTATGAATAACATAATTGTCACTTAATCATTATTATTGTTATTATTATTATTATTCACTAATTTAACAGAGATTTAATGATTGAGTATGTCATGATAAAATCAGCCCTAGAGAACTGTATTTTTTCTAAATTTTATAAATGACAATGTCTGGTTTATTGTTTGTTGCAGTTAGTGAAAGTTTTGTAGAAAGAAGTTCTATTGTACATTCTATGTCCATCAGGATCTGCCAAGAAATATACTGGCATACTTTTAGTGCATAATTGGTTTTGGTTGCTTACAATGTAAAAGATAATGGGTTTTGCAGAGAGAACATCTCTTAAAAGTGTTTTATTTTCTGAATTGACTTTTTTTAAAAGGAAAAACCAATATTTGGAATCCAATTTGGCACCCAGACTGAGTAAAACATCCCATTTAGGCTATGTCTGTGCCCAGAACACAGATGTGCTAAGAGGAGACAGATACATTAGTAATCCAACTGCTATTGGCAGAGACAACCAGGGATACCAGAGCTCTACAGAAAGATATGACAGAGGCTCCAAATACCAACAGAACAACAGACATCAACCAGCCTATAAGATAGGACGACAGATATATATACCTCCACCAGATTATTGAACAACATCATCCCAGACTTATATGAGGTTTTAAAAAGGATTTTGCATTTTTTGATAACAGACTTAAACAAAATTTATTTAAAACATCATAATAGGAGTGCAACAAACCTTAAACTTTCCAGTAATATCTCAAACAGAGAATTGCTGTAGCTGACTGGTAATGGACACTTTCTAGGATACAATGCATGTAAAATCTTATTGAAACGCACAATGAATACAATAAGATAAATGGGATGGTGCATGTGGTTTCGACACATCGTACCCATTCCTTACCAACAGAGTGGGAAAAGTGACATTGCACTCTGTGATTATTTTCCAACCCATGTGTGCCAGCATCCTTATTTTTAAATCACAATCTCCATATGTACTAATATGTGCTTGTTTTCTTATACTTGAGAGCAAAAAAGTTGAAACTTCAGCTTAAGCCTTCTGCAATGCAACTTTTATGAAAATTTATTGTTTACATTTTAATATTTTTTACTTAATTATCTTTTATCTGGGACCCATGAATTGTTTGATGGTTCCTAGCTTTTACTAAATTTATTAAATTTTTTTTATATTTTATTATTTTTAATTGCTAATGTTACTTGTATTCNTTGTCTTTGGTTTGTAACATTGAGAAGTCTTGAGCATGTATTCAATGGAGTAAATGAACTGTAAATTTAGTTTGTTGTTACATGACATATGGTACCATATAGTGCTTCACTCCACTGTACCCATCACTCATATGTTTTTCAGAGTAACACCTGCTTGATAGATGGTGTATGTTACAGTACATGTCAAGTGAACCCAGGGGACAATACAACAGTCTGTTATTCCAATACCACAGCATACAACTGGACTTCAGCAGAAGGTACGTAAAAAGCTGTCTTTGTGCTTTTTTAAAACAATCTTATGCGTGGCCTTGAACTAAACTTTCCTTAACATAGGAATCAGTGTCAAGCACAATAGTGATATAAGATATTTTGGAAGTCTCAAGTAAAATACTTCTCTGCTTTTGACAGCAGTACACTTGGTTTATGATTCAATTTTAAACAATACCTTTATGATACCTTTATACCTTTTTAGCATGTAACAAAATGGTTGATACTGGTAGTACAGTTAAGGCAGTGTCAGATGCCAACATGGCAGTTATCTTAGGAGGTGTGCTGGGGAGCATATCGTTTATTGCTGTGACTCTAATAGTGGTTGCAGCAATTATACATGTCCTACATTGGAAATCTAAGCAAAAGAAAAGGTAAGTTTTTAAGTAGATGTTTATTCCTTTAATAATTAGTTTTCTTCACAAAAGCAATAGTTATATTTTTTATCCTTTAGTCAGTCTATCTTTTATTTGGCACCTTAACATCATCCTGTAGCTGTGAGATTCATCCATCTCAAGGCAATTTCAGTGTACTAAAGAAATATGGAAGCCTTATTGTGTCTACTTTGTAATTATTATGAATAACATAATTGTCACTTAATCATTATTATTGTTATTGTTATTATTATTATTCACTAATTTAACAGAGATTTAATGATTGAGTATGTCATGATAAAATCAGCCCTAGAGAACTGTATTTTTTCTTAATTTTATAATTGACAATGTCTGGTTTATTGTTTGTTGCAGTTAGCGAAAGTTTTGTAGAAAGAAGTTCTATTGTACATTCTATGTCCATCAGGATCTGCCAAGAAATATACTGGCATACTTTTAGTGCATAATTGGTTTTGGTTGCTTACAATGTAAAAGATAATGGGTTTTGCAGAGAGAACATCTCTTAAAAGTGTTTTATTTTCTGAATTGACTTTTTTTTTAAGGAAAAACCAATATTTGGAATCCAATTTGGCACCCAGACTGAGTAAAACATCCCATTTAGGCTATGTCTGTGCCCAGAACACAGATGTGCTGAGAGGAGACAGATACATTGGTAATCCAACTGCTATTGGCAGAGACAACCAGGGATACCAGAGCTCTACAGAAAGATATGACAGAGGCTCCAAATACCAACAGAACAACAGACATCAACCAGCCTATAAGATAGGACGACAGATATATATACCTCCACCAGATTATTGAACAACATCATCCCAGACTTATATGAGGTTTTAAAAATGATTTTGCATTTTTTGATAACAGACTTAAACAAAATTTATTTAAAACATCATAATAGGAGTGCAACACACCTTAAACTTTCCAGTAATATCTCAAACAGAGAATTACTGTAGCTGACTGGTAATGGACACTTTCTAGGATACAATGCATGTAAAATCTTATTGAAACGCACAATGAATACAATAAGATAAATGGGATGGTGCATTTGGTTTCGACACATCGTACCCATTCCTTACCAACAGAGTGGGAAAAGTGACATTGCACTCTGTGATTATTTTCCAACCCATGCATGCCAGCATCCTTATTTTTAAATCACAATCTCCATATGTACTAATATGTGCTTGTTTTCTTATACTTGAGAGCAAAAAAGTTGAAACTTCAGCTTAAGCCTTCTGCAATGCAACTTTTATGAAAATTTATTGTTTACATTTTAATATTTTTTACTTAATTATCTTTTATCTGGGACCCATGAATTGTTTGATGGTTCCTAGCTTTTACTAAATTTATTAATTTTTTTTAATATTTTATTATTTTAAAATTGCTAATGTTACTTGTATGCATAAAATGACTAGTACTTTTAATTGCTAATGTTACTTACGTACTTAAAATAAATCTAAGTGAGCATTTATGTACATTATAGCCTGCACCTGCATGCAAAATACATCCACTTACCCTTCAAATGTGTGATCAACATCAAGAATATTATTGTACATTAGACCCTAGACTGCACAATACAAAAAATTACAAATAATATTCATAATATGATAATAATAATATAAAGCATATAGCCTGAAAAAAGTGTTTTCATCTAGATGTGCAACAATAATCCACATTTTACAATGTATATTTTGGTAATTTAGAAGTGATCAATGGTGCTTTTTTATTTTATTTAAGTGTCGGTCCTGCTTAATTTCCTTTTGTCAAGTGAGATGATAAATACATGACTTTATGGCCTTTTTACAGCTCACAAAAAAAAAACAAAAAAAAAGTAAATAGATAAATCATTAATTGCAAGACAGCACTGCATCTACATGTAGATATATATTTAGAAAATGTTTAAACAAGTGTTTGTGTATGCGTGTGTACAAAAGACCCCCCCCCCCTTTAAATTATCCTGGATCCGCCCCCGTAAAGGTCCATTTGAAGAAAACAGAAAAGTAAAAAAATAATGATATATCCGCGAATTTTACTTTTTATCCCACTATCTGGTGACGTTGCTTTGGGGAATTTTCGTATTCAGTAACGAAGGTTTTAGTAATGGAAATTTTAATAATAACTTCTTCGGATAATATTCGCACGTCATTAAAACTAACAAAAATTAGGGGTATTACGAGATGTGAGTTTATTTTACTGACACATTTTATCCTTAACCTCTATTTATTTTTTCACATATCCTTAGGTTTAAAATTTAGTCCATTTTCGTTTTTTATGTGAAAACAGATAAACCTAGTAATTATCTATAGTGATTATAGTTTGCTAGACTATTGTTAGTTAAGTTCCACTTGGACAAATAATTCTCGACTTTAAAAATTGTATTATGGATTAAAAACAAAGAAACGCGCAGACCAATATACTTGCTTTTAAACACGGTTTATCCAGTTTGTAAAAGTAAATTTTTCCATTAAGCGGAGGGCATACGTCCACTTCATCATTTTGCAAGTGGGAATACAGCACACCAAATGGTATGAAAATAACTAGCTTATCACACGAAGCCCTGTATCGGCAAGTCCCCTAGCCAATCTTAAAATAAGGTCGCCGAAAAAACGGTTGAATAACATGCGAACAAGCCAAAAGAAACACGATAAAGCAGAACGTAATGTGAATCGGCCAAAAGAAACACGTCTTCGAATGCATTCTACAAGGATGTAAGGCATTTATAAATGATTTATTGAATAATCTCGATCATTCTAAAGCTCTCAAAAATGATTTTATAATTGATCCAGAAGAACATAAAGGTTCGCCTTTTATTGTTAGAATGAAGTCTACCGTAACCTCCAATCAAAATGCGACATACCTGTTGTCATTTACATAACAATAAGTCGCTCAGTGAACTATGTTCTTGACTAGTCACTTGACTGTTAGATCCTGTAAGAAGACGACGCAGGAAAGGTGTGGTGAGGTCGCACAGCCGAATACTTCATTCAGCGTTGAAGCAAATATGTCTTGTGAATGACATTTGCTCCTGTAAGAAGAGGACGCAGGTATAGTGTGGTGAAGTCGCAGAGGCGCTGAAGCAAATATGAGAACGTCTTGTGAGTAACATTTGTTCTACACAATGAAATTTAGAAGGAGATACATGCACGTCTTATGTGCATAATGTGATAATGCTGTATGTACGGCTTTGGTCAAAATAATTCTACATTCTTTACTTCTGTTGTGATAAATATCTGCAAGAAACTTTTAATTCGAAAAAATGTTGGAAATACCATTCACCTATACTTGTGATTAAGGTGTTATTTGCACCAAGAATTTTTCTTACAACTTATTCATGTTTTTCCGAGTTTTAATTATAATGTATCTGTATCTGTATCTGTCAATATTCGTCTGAAGGACCACCACTGGTATATGATAGACGGGAAGAGTAATATGTATGCACGTTGATAATCTCTAAAAAGATGTAATTTAGAGGATCGCGGTTCCAGTAGACGTCTAAATGAAATGAAGACGTTGTTATTTTTGATATTACTTTTTGGTGCCCTCTTACTGTCACTTAAATACCGACTCATTGTACGTAAATTTGCTGCCTGAACAAATTTGTTTTGTATTTTAAAAACACTTCTTGGGTATTTGTAGTAAGTGTAGCAATGTGAAACTTCCCCAGTTTCTGTATTATCAACTTTTGTATTTCGTTTAATTTCTAGAAAAATTCGTTTGCAATTGAAGCAGATAGCAATGGAAAACTTCTATAAGATTTTCAATATCATGCAAAATTCTTAATATCCATAGGGTTTTTATTTTCATAGTAACCTAGTTTTTCACACAAAGTAAGTAAAATTTACTGTCCACGTCAGATTATGCCTTCTAGTCGGATGTCTTAATCGGTGCTGTAATACTCTGTTCCTTGCTGGGATTGCTACATTCACTTGAACATTTACTTAGAAAACGCTTTCTAATAGTATTGGACGTTAAATTTCTTTACGTTCCTTTCATAGTGCATTGGAATCTGATGTACAACATACAAGAAATCTGTTCTGAAAAATCGAAGAATCGCAATTCTTGAACTACAAACCCCTTTTACATTTTTTCATTTTAATTTAGTGGTGTTCATCCAGCATAAATATAATTTTCAACATCAACACAAGTCTTTCCATTTTCAGTTTATCAGATCTTAGTTTAAATTTCAAGGCATTTTATCATGAGTGTTATTTTCATTTTTCAGAACTGCCCCTTCCTAGGCCGATGCGACTGATACAAACCTCCACAACCTTCTGCAAATATTTTGGAACTGGAGAGAGGCAAACACACACAATGTATATGGTGAAAAATTGTGAATGCTGTTTTTGTCATTTCCAACGTGTTTTAGGACTACATATATTTTTGTATATATTGAAATTGAGAACAAAGATGAATAGCGTACTTTTTAAAAACTTTAAAGTAGTTATTGATCAAATTATACCTTGGGTCAAGCTTGGATGTATCCAATTCTATTTTAAAGCATTTTAGTTTCTCTCTAATTGTCTTATATAATAGTGTATCTATTAAAGTGCTTCAAATGACACTATGTAATATTCAGTGTTTGTAAATATCAAATTTCAACCTTGAAAGTAAAAATGCAGTTTTTCTAAAATTGTTTTTTAATTGTTTATCTAATCCGTCAACTTCCACAATATTTGTTATTATTTACCTTGGAGAAGCCAATTTTGTATTTTTTCATTTGAATTTATTTTCTGACACATGTGTACAACAGTTGTGACCGAATAAATGAGCTATCCATTGGAGTTTTCATTCTTATGTAAAAGACCCAAAGTGAAAGTAATATTGACACTTGCTGAACGTTCAGAAACTTCTTTGAAAAGCATTATTTTGCTTTTAATATTTAAAGCTAAAAGGGTGCCCAAAAGTTTTTAAAATTTTGCAAGTTCAAATTTCCACATGTATCTGTAATGAGATCATGCTGCGCATTACATCACCAAAAATGAATAAAGTAAATTTTGGAACTGCCAATAATTTTAGATTTTGCGTTCAAAGTAATTTACGTCCAGAATTAAAATTTTCATTTTCATCCTGTCCGCCAATTTAATTCACCGTACTTGTTTGAACCAACCCTGAATGAATCTAATACTTTTTTCAACCGATTTAAATCCCCTCAACATATTTCGCCATATAACAGCTACACAATGCCACTTAATTATTGCAACTTGCACATCTTTTTAAACCGTGATTAAAGGTTATGGAATACCGATTTGAGGACTGAAGGGCAGGTCGCGGTCATTTTTATTTACTGTGGGGCGAGTCCATTCCATTCTTAAGGGGTGATAGGTTGAGAGAGTCCATTCTATTTGAGGGGTGACAGGTGGGGCGAGTCCATTCCATTGAAGGGGTGACAGGTGGGGCGAGTCCATTCTATTTAAGGGGTGACAGGTGGGGCGAGTCCATTC